TTTGTTTTAATAGCTTCCTTGTGAGCAACAACCCTCCATCACGGCATCACAATCGTTTCTTTTTCCTCCACTGTGGATCAATATGATAAGAAAATACAACCAATTATTCTACTTGCAATGAGTTGGCCAAAAACTACACACCTTCTGGAAAATCAGCGTTGACCCCTAGTTTTTATGCTGTCAATGTTGTGTTATTTGTGCTTTATTATTCAATGTAAGTGTTGTCAACCATTGAAAGTCTTGTTTATTCATCATATTAAACTTCATTTTAAAAAGTTCACATTCGGTAAAATTTTAGAAACTTTACATACATGTATACTAACATGTTTTAAATTTGGTGATCATGGGTATGACTCATCATGCTATTCTAACAATAGCATCTAGGCATCTGACCCTTCTTGAGCACCTTAGATCAATCCCTGTTAAATGAAGGGTTGGTGTTACTCAGTTTTTAGGTTTTTGTGTAGAGATATCTTGACTGATTTTATCTATGCTGTTGTTTGGTTTAGGTCTTCTAATAATTTTGAGTGCCTAAGTGTCTTCTTTATTTTTTATTCATCTTAATAACAACATATTTTCACAACAGTTTTCAAAATATTTTTTTATGGACAGCCCATTCAGTCTTTGAACAACTCCTCACCTCCTTTTGAAAGGCACTGTACATAAGATAATTTTTCTCGCACATTTTAATCTACCGTTTTGATATATTTCTACCACATTTCATTAGCTTATTCCAAAATGCTGATACCTTTATGATAAATGTCCAATAGGGTATATGCTATCCGCTTAAACTCAAAATAGAACTCCGGACAAAAGGCTTAAATATTTCCCAACCTTAAGCTTCATATGCTTATAAGGTGGATTGAAACTTCTTAACTTCTATAGCCATTTCTTTGCAATGCCATATGCATATGCTGTTTATGTGCAAAATTAACAAACAATCCGATTGCCCAACCGGATTCTCAACGATGCCATTCCTATATGAACACCTGAAGCAAAACTACTCCTAGTTGTTCTAAAATATGTTTGCCGAGTTCCACTGTTCCGATTGGCAACAGCAGAAAAAAGAATGATCACAAGTGATCATTGATACATGTCTCGGAAAACATTTAACACATTACTGGATTTTACTCATGGAATGGTGAATCATAGTGACAGATTTGATCTCTTCCTGAAACATTGTTCAATGTGGACTGGTATATAAATGTGGATGGTCATTTGTCTTGGAGCTTCATGCGGGGGATGATGTCCAGACATACTAAATGTTTTCATTATCATCTGCTTCAAGTAATCTGGGTTATCAATATGTTAACTTATGTATACTTATGTATACCATGTAAGGATAGAGTTGCACAATTGACTAATTATACCATGTTGACATACATGTATTTCTTGTTAGACAATTGACGGAGTGCACATCCATAAAACGGTTATTACTAGATATAAGTATGAAACGCATGGTTATATTTGATTAATGATAGGATATTGTTTATTCTATACTAATAATATTAGTTACTAAGTTACAGCAAGAACAGTTGTTCTGGCGCGTACTATATTGGTTAAAGTATCAGAGAAAATAAGTGAAATGCATATATACATTTATCAAAGCATTATGGTTATGACGAATAACACAAGTTAGACTATCAAAATGCTGACAAATGAACATGTTCGTATTATGTGACGATTCTTCAGCCACAGTTGAACTCCTGTTGTTGTCAATGTTGATTTTGAGGCGTCATATGCAAGTTTCAGGATAAAAAACTACTTTTGACTAGTTTTTCCCGTATGATTTATATAGAAACAAATTCTTATGATGTAATTTAACCAAATGCCAGCTTCTTAGATAAAATCTATTGGTATTAAACTAATTTTTCATTAAAATATAATGTGTTGCCCGGGTGTCAGTTGTTGCGTCGCAAGTGGCGGAGGCAAAGAAAAAGAATTGGTTTGCATATAATGCGACCTTTATCTGATACATTTTCATTCAAATACAGCTACTCTGAAAAGCTATGATTCCTTGCCCGGCTTTGGCTATACTTTTTTGTCCATTTTTGGTTTACAGCTCTTCATCTTTTTAATAAGCTTTGGATTTCAAATATTTTGGCCTCGAGCATCACTGAAGAGACATCACTTGTCGAAATGCGCATCTGGTGCAGAAAAATTGGTACCTTTTATGTTATTATTAACACTGGGTCGATGCCTCTGCTGGTGGACTGATAGTCCCCGAGGGTATCACCAGCATAGTAGCCAGTACTTCGGTACTGACATGAAAATACAGGTTTTGTGTTAATTAAATTTTGGAAATTATTTAAAATTAAGGAATGTATCTCCCTCATGAAAAGCTATGATTCCTTGCCCGGCTTTGGCTATACTTTTTTGTCCATTTTTGGTTTACAGCTCTTCATCTTTTTAATAAGCTTTGGATTTCAAATATTTTGGCCTCGAGCATCACTGAAGGTACATTGATTGTCGAAATGCGCATCTGATGCAGAAAAATTGGTACAGTTTATGTTATTGCTAATGACATGCCAAGCCTTAGATTTGTTTTGATCATTATTATATATATAATTAAGAAGATGTGGTATGATTGACCAGGAGACAACTTTCCAGATGAGACCAACAGACACATAAATTAACAACTATAGGTCACCGTACGGCCTTTAACAATGGGTCAAACCCATACCGCATAGTCAACTATAAAAGGCCCTGAAATTACAAATGTAAAACAATTGAAACGAGAAAACTTACAGCCTGATGTATGTTCAAAATAATGGATGAAAAAAAGAAATGATATACGGTAACAAACGAGAAACCTCCTAGCTTGAAACAGGCACATACAGAGCATGGTTCAGTTAAGTCCTCTTCCACCTGATCATAAAGAAAACTGGTCGAGTCGAGAGTTTTTTTATCTAAGTGTTATGTGTTAATTTTGATATTTTATGGTGGCCATTTTGGAAAAAGCCGCCATATTGAAATTGCCAAGATGGGTCCATAACTAATGTTGTTTGAAACACCCAACATGCTAAATTTGGTGCTTTTATCATTAAACCCACAATTTTGTCACCGATCTGGAGGACTACAAACACTATGTTGATTTCCCTGTGCTAATATTGAAATAAATAAAAGCAAATCATGTCTGAAGGTACAGGGCCAAATTATGTTCATGGACATGAGCTGCGCAAATACAAATACAACTGCAATTTGAATATCATTGATCTACTCTCACTAGTAGTTCTTCTTACACTGACCTAATCACTAGTACATTGTTGATGTCACCAACTAAAACAGCACTCCTAAATCCCGCCTTTTCGACTTCAAAGAAACATAATACAAATCTTTGCAAAATGTCGCCATGGATACTGTCTTTTCCTGGAATAGGTCATTACTTATTTTGACTTATCTTCATATTTCTACTTACATGATCTGCTTGACGGTCACCACGTGTAAAGAAGGACCATAAGAAGCACCCGAGATCACATCTTGTTTTATTTAAAAGGGGTACGTAATGCTTTTTTTTTATTTTTTGTTAGTTGTTCCTTGTGATTTTTTATTTCTCAATGTTTGTTTTGTTTATTTTGGTAACTGACTGGTCTATCGAAAGCATGTGTCAATTTCAAACTTCAAATTCTGTTCAGTTTCCGGGTAGAAAATGGTAATTCCTACATCACTTGATCATCAAACTCTACTGACACTAAACAACATGAACATTATGATTGGTTGATTGATTGGTGTTTAAAGTCACTTTTAGAACTATTGATTATTTTTTTGGCGGTCAGGTTTTATTGATGGAGGAAGCCAGAGTGCCAAGTGATAACCACTGACCTTTGGCAGAAAAATTTACAATCTTTGTAAATTACGATTAGGGTCGAGCGCACCTTCCAAGTTCAGGGTTCGCTATTACAACCTTGGTGTTGACTGACTAGTAAGATCATTTTCAAACCACTCGGCCACTGAGCCCCTCCCCATGAACACGACATGCACGATGAAGGTTTCACAAAAGTTATTAATGTTTAAACACTCCTTAATCCTCGGACTGAACCTAAACGTTGACGTAGGACGGTAGATAATGTTTTGCTTTTGAGATAAAATGTTCCAGGCTCACAAATACAATGTTGAAGTAAGAAAATTAGTTTAAACAAAAATCCGAAATGATATAAGTTGTACTGATTTACCATGCCTATCTAATGACAGACACTTAGAACTATTATCTATATTAGTATCTTTTCCAGATAACACCCATACTTAGCCCCTCAACAGTGAATTAAGTTCAAATTAAAATTCAATAATCAATTAACTAATTGGTTTATCTCTTCGTTGTTTTAAATTTAAATAGAACATGTAGCCAAGCATTGAAAAAACATTGCAAAATTGCTGTTTATATGACATGGTTGCTTTGGTTTTGGAACTATGTCCGAATGATTTATTCCACACGTCTTATCTTATTCATATAGATTGAATCATATCGCAAATACCATTTGTATGATGTATTTACGGTTGGCATTACGAAATGGGATATCCGTTTTACAAATCATAGCGGAAATGATCCAATTGTCGTACCTAGAATTCCACTCCCCTTTCACCGAATATGACCAACTGAATTAGACTTTTTACCGGATTTGTACTAGCACGAGGACCATGACGGGTGCCACATGTGGATCAGAGTTTGCTCGCCCTTCCGGAGAACCTGAGATCACCCCCAATTTTTGGTGGGGTTCGTGTTGCTCAGTCTTTAGTTTTCTATGTTTTGTACTGTTGTTTGTTGTTTGTCTTTGATCTTTTTCTTTTTTAGTCATGGTGTTGTCAGTTGTTTTTTTTTTAACTATGAGTTCGAATGTCCTTTTGGTAAACTTCGCCTCTCGTTATTGTTTTACAAAACAGTTTTCAGAATATAATCTTCAACCCTAATTACTAATGTGTTTGTCTTTGACCACATTTAATATTTTTCTGTTCTGGACGTAGATTACTAATTGTTTTTGCCATATGGAACACAATACGAAAAATAAGAGTTTACTAATTTAATGAAACAAGTTAAGACACCTCCTTTGGTAACTTTGATAGAATGTATCTCAATCTTTTGATAATACAACATAGCATACTCCATTCACTGTTTATGATTTAACATGTATATGTTGATGTTAAATCTCAAAAAGTTTTGATCTCCTCGCTTCTGCTGAAGGACATACATAGATATCATATTGCAAAGCTTCATCATAACACTGACATGACGTGTCTTTATCACCGGATATATCAAAACATACTGCAACTATTGTTAATGCATTAGATTCTGTATTTATTTTTCGAAAAGCATTTTCTTTCACTGGCATATATAAATCACGTTATGCATATCGTCTGTTGGATATACCACTAAGATGATGATTACATAGAAATCTAAGACAGTGAGTAATAACATTTGGTAGTATGTTCATCCCTTCGCATTCTACTTCCAGCCGTAGTTCTTGTGGTACTCATGTTGAGTGCTTTTAGCAGTGGACATGTTGTGCAGTGGCTATTATCAGCCTTTAATTAAATGACATTGAAGAATTTACGTTATGTCTGTAAATATTTTTCCGTATGTCACTGTTGACTCTAGAGTCTATGAGCATCATATAAGGTGACCATCTTGATAGAACATCATCCGTTATTCTAAGTGTTACATTGAACTGTCTTGTTACATAATAAAACGACGCGTATAACAACCAACCAGACACAGCATCTGTCTTTGTGATGTGTTTGAAAAGTGTATGGTAACATTTGCGTATGGTGTACGTGTTACGTGTTCGTATTCGGTGGTGGTAGTAATTGTGCAATTCTCCACTGATGATACCGTTATACAATTTACATGCATCAATAATAAATGTACACAATTCGGACTTAAGTAAAGATTCAATACATGAAAGTGCTTTATAATAATTTGAAATGCCTCTTGGTATCGTGTCTATCGTGTAACAACAATTTCTGTAAAGTAGAAAGTCTAGCAGAAGGAACTAATATTCACTCTTTGTACTTGATAAACGGTGATGGTCATTATCAAGCGGAAATAAATACTGTATCAATCCATCGATCCCTCCACACTCTATACTCCCAAGAACACACAGTAGTATCGTATTGTTATTCTGATCGATCTTTCCTAGGAACATGTTATGTTCAGGAATGAAATAGTTCGGACAATAACATGTCTTTACCCATGATATTATTTTTTCAAGACAGAGAGAAAAACAATGATATATTTTAGATAATTGAAATGTGTCAATATCAACTTTGTCCGAATCCCAGAATAAAGCCGTCTTTATATAATGGTTTACTTTTATAAATTTTGACTTGGATGGAGAGTTGTCTCATTGGCACTCATACCACATCTTCTTATATCTATTTAGAAAGTAAGAACACAATAAATCTTTTACTGCATTGTTTGTACTAATGATACGCTTAAGTGTCAATTTGAGTAGACCGTAACATAAGACTTGAGCGAAACTAAATGAATGTACAGGTACTTTTTCTGCCATCGATGACGTGATGCCCATGGAAGGGCGTTGTGAGGTAGATATTCACTCAGTAGGCAGTATGCGATATCAATTGTCTGATCTTTGTTTGAAACACATGGACCGTGTATACATGTCTGCACGTTTGGATAACTTCGTTTACAGCTATCAAGAAATTTCTGTATTGCTAGATGAAATTGTGTACCATTACATGTACCTGGTGGACAACGGCCACATCGTTCATGGAGAGATTCTATATTATGTGCTGATACTTTAACAAACAGATCACGATGTATTTGGTTTTTGATGTTCTTAACATTATGTATTACTGTATAGTCATTGGTTATGTACATAACATCCATGTCACTACCTGGTAAATCAAGTCCTTCTGCCGAACTTCCACTTGAAATTTGTTTACAATCAGTCAGACCTGAAGATTTGACGATCATATCTTGTATAATAAATAGTCGTTGTCTTTTCCGTATTTTGTTTGTACTAGATGTTCGTACAAGCATTTCTCCATCCAATCAATCCAAAGCAAGTGATCTATAAAAAGTATGCGTATTTACTAATGTATCATAAAACAACAAAATGACGTTCGTACATAAAATATTAACTCCCCTAAATTGTTTTCCAAGCAATTGTTCTGATCATAGTATCAATGTTGAGTGTTATGTAGACGCCATGGACGTATAGCATTGTATATGTAAAGCCAGGTTTGACAATTAACAACAAAGGTAACAGTATTAAGTATGTTGTCTATTTCCTTCTCGTGGTCAGGGTATCATCGGCCTTGTATTCAAAACTATTAAATGTACTGTCACCAAATGTTAAATGTTGATATGAAGTATCCTTGATGCGTTCCTATTTTTCAAATATCTTATTTATCAACTGTTGAATTATTTAAAACACATTGGTCTCTTAAACATCATCTGTATTGCTGCTTAAAGATATTTGGTTTAAGAGCTTCTGAATAAGGTACATTTAGAATACTAACGGTTTAAACGCATCTATTTTATAAATAGTTATGTCATGAATTATACAGTTTTTACTGCAACCCTAATAATTGAGTGAATTAGCATTTCACTTAATTGGTGCAAATCGACCTATACATTTTTTAAATCTAATATACATTAATAGTTATGTCACAATTTAGTATTGAACTATTAACAAATATTATACCTTTTCATGAAATGTACCTCAACCTTCAGCTAGTTTATTGATATTTACCTTGAGTTCTTTCCGTTCAAGGAAGATATTTCAACTCTTCATACAGATTTCACTTTACAGACAGTATTTATATTGTCAATTTAGTTTATCCCGTCCACTTGGATTGTAAATAACCAAATGCATCTTAGTACCAATTTGCATTGTCATGAGTATCTGTGTCTTTTCCGGTTTTAGTCATAGTGTTGTCTGTTTGTTTTGGGCCTATGGTTTTCTAGATAAAGCATAGTATCTTTTACCGTGTAAGACTGTCTCTGGACTTGCATTACAACAAAACCAACTTAACACCTTTAACTTTCTTGAGTTTTAGCAAATAATATTACATCTTCATTACTGTCTGTACAGTTTTCTAAGTACTCCAGATATTCTTTAGATGATTTGTCAGGATATCTAAGGTTCAGTATCCACTGTTCTTTTGTTTTCCTTCTTTCTAAACAAGTTTCCGTTTGAATGGTTTTACACTAGTAATTTTTTGGGGCCCTTTATAGCTTGCTGTTCGGTGTGAGCCAATGCTCCGTGTTGAAGGCCGTACCTTGAGCTATAATGGTTTACTTTTATAAATTGTAACTTGGATGGAGAGTTGTCTCATTGGCACTCATACCACATCTTACTATATCTATTTATGCATTCGTTCAAACTGACTGATTGTTAATCCGAAAACGTCATTTGAGATCACCATTCCTCCATCTAAAGATTGGTGAAGTAATGGTGTAAACTTACGCTTTCCATGGTACGGAAAACGTTTTACACAGTTCTTCAGTACGTAGTTTTTTTTATGCCAAATAAATTTTCATGATCAGAATTGTTTTGGTTTCTGGTGTTTCCGTTCATGATACCTGTAACGGAGAAAGGCGAAAGATACCAAAGGGAAATTTAAATTCATAATTCGAAAATAAACTGACAGCGCCATGAATAAAAAAAAAACAACAGACAAACAATACTACACAAAATACAACATAGAAAACTAAAGACTGAGCACAACGAACCCCATTTCACGTTTTGTAGGAAATTGAATTGGCATTTTTTATTGCGGTTGTTGTATTTAAATCCTCACTCCCCACTTCCCCTCCAAACAATAAAAAAAAATAAAAAAAGTATATATCTGGAATTTAACATCTGATATTTATTCATAGTTCAAGAACTTAAGTTTATGAATGTCTAAATAACAGGATTGCAAAGGTGTCCAAGCACCAGCACCAAATTTAAGGAAGAAAGGCCAGAAACGCTTATAACAAATACGTTTTGTCTCCAATCAGATATTGATGACATGAAATCATATGCGATTGATACGTCAACATTGATTAATGTTGCAATAACTGTATTGTTAATTGGATGATAGGAGGAACGTCTATTTCTTGTCTTATATATTAAGGTAATTGTAGGTTATCCATGTTTAAATCTCGTAAATCGATTCAGACGAAACGAATCTAGGTAACGAACAAACACTGAGGTGATCCTTTGAACTTCAAAAAGAGCGACACAGGTTGTGTTCACACAATAAACGTCTACTGCATGTTTTATCAAAAATAAATATCTTACCTTGTATCACTGGGTTGCTTGATGTTCACGTGTTGCCACACTATAGTACTTGACTGATTAAACGTAGGAGTTTAGGGAAACTGAAACACAGAGAGACAAACTTCCTGATGAAAACATTGTAAATACTTGTACTGAGGCTATCTGATTTTATTAGTACACAACCAAGGATGGGCGGTCACTTAGCTCAAGTGTTAAACACTTGATGATAATGATTACAGCGAAATCAAAACGCAACGTAAGTGAATCATAATTGGAAACTTTTCTCTACTTTTTAATTCATACATTTTCTAGTAGCCACATGACAACATGTCAAACACATTTGAGTATTTTTTTTTATTATTTTTTTTTTCAACAGCATTATATATTTATTCGCCAAATATGCTTGTCACATTGTACTTCAAAAAACCAAGCTTTTCTTGATGTATCCTGTAATATTCCACTGATTACCCAGGTTAGAAGTCAGCTGCTGAAATATATGTATGTACACATTTCTTGAAATAAAATTGTACAAAAGTTTTATGCATTATGTTTTTATTTATTCAATCGTGTTTAGCCTGTTTCTCTGACGTCAATCTATTGTTTTTACTATAGATTATTTTTTGAGAATCAACTGACCACTGTTTTAATTTATTTTACAACTTGTAACTTTTAACTAACGATCTTTTATCATCTCAAAACGATTTGCATATGAAGAGTTCGAACTCGTGAATATTTTCATCGTGAATCGGTAAATTCTTCAGTTTATGCACGATACCACTATACCACGATTGCTGATAAAATTCAATATTTTAATTATACTCTTATAGCGTTCATTTGTAAATACATGTCAATAAATAGACCGTAAAACTCTATATATTTTATGCACGATACCACTATACCACGAGTGCAGATAAAAATCAATATTTTGATTATACTCTTATAGCGTTCATTTGTAAATACATGTCAATAAATAGACCGTAAAACTTTGACAGAAACAAAATCATCGCCATTATATGAAAATTAAATATATAATACCTCTAAGATTAAAACAATATGGTAGAGAAAAAAAATACGATGAAAAAAAATCATTTCGGGTACAAGGTTTCAACTTCATAATATTAACGTTATGACTTTCGTTACCAACGACTAGATGATCACGGCTATGAACAGCTTGATTATAAATTAATAGAATCAACATAATCATACATCTGTAGCAAGAGCAATTCTGCTTTGGATTCGGATATGTCTCACACAGATAATAATAGATTAACGACTAATTGACGATAGATGCCAAATGTAATAAAGCTAAAATAATATAAACTTAATGAGACTGAAACTGTTTAAACAAAGTTAGCATACAATTGTTTAAGTAAAACCTTAAACACATAACTTTTTATTATTGAAAGCAACATGATATGAGCTTCTTGAAACGGTCGGTATTTGGCGTATACTCTACTCTTTCAGATTTGGATTAGGCATGTTAGGACGGCTTACAAATAGAGCATTTGCATTATTCACGTATTTGCTGGAGTATCCGTATCGACGTATCGTATAGCACGTATACGAGGATAAATTAAGTCAAGTCGGTCCCGATGAAGATATTTTACAATGCATTTAATTTTAATTTAGTTTTAATTAAGATCGGTGCTAAATCATTATTTTATACAAATTTCCCCGATACGTATGTACGTCAATCCGTGCACGTATCCTGAGACGTAAATAATGCAAATGATCTAGTAGGAGCAAGCCCGTAGACATCTTGATTCTATCACATGCTGCTTAATATTATATACATAAATTTCAAAGGTTTTAAATTTCGATAATTAGAATTTTTAAACTTTTCAAAACAAGATAGATAAATTCTGTATATTATTATATGTCTTTCTTAAGACACAATCAATACCAAAATCTATTTAAGTTCAATTATTTGTATTGATTTGTAATTATTAAATGAAATATGTGTTTACCATTATGAAATTTGGTGTTTAAAAGGGGAGCTAACACCCAATTTAAGTTATGCTAACTTGGCAAATGTCTAAATATAGATTGAGCCGTATTGATATAACTATTTCCAGCTATTAAATAATAAAACACACAAAATACGACATAATATCTATGCAATTCCGTTGAATTATTCCCAAACAAAAATGAAACAGGCAGTCGTTTTGCTATAAATGGATTAAGCTAGAGAATTGATAGGAAGTATTTGATTCGGAAACTATAATCAACTTGCGACTAAAGTCGTTCGTTGATTAACGTTTAGGAATCCACTATTTCTTATCAATTCTTTAATTCATACTTCTTTTTAGTGACTTTAGTAATGGATTTAATTTCATTGTTCTGTTTTCGTTATATTTTTTTTTATGTATTCTTGAACAAAAAATTGATAAACCGTTACAAATTATTTCTGATTAGATACATAATATGATTTTTATATAGAAAAACCTTAAATTTATACCCAAAGACTTATTGCTTTAACGATACTCTAAAATTTTATCATTAACTAATGAATACTTTTTCAAAAAAATTCTATAAATCGACCAGAAATAAAAGAGTTGTTTTAATCTTTTTCTTCGTTACTTACATTACATAGACCGCCGTTCTTCTGTTTCCATTTAAACAATAAGTGTTTTGTTGGTAATATGAATTGTAAAAATGTCCATCTATATATTATTAACTTATTCTCTCCTAAATAATGAAACATGAATAAATATAATTGATTAATACTAAGGTTCTCATTAATTTGTAAAATACGCATCCATTTGCTAACAATTGAGGGTTCAGTTTTATCATTACAAATTGACTTGAATAATATGTTGGTTGAAAAACTTGAAGCCTCAATGTAATCACCTTTCCAGATCAATTTATGTCTAGGATTATTTACAATACTTTTAATAGGACTATCAGACTTTAACATCCGAAGCCAGGATAGCTCTTTTTTAAAATATTAATTAAAGCCACGATCTTCACAAATAAAACGAAGAGGAGAGCTGATAGGGAGCACTCTAGCCTTATTCCTCTTTTGTATTGAAAAAATTCTGAAATCCATCCACTATTAATATCACAAGTTTGTAACCCAGTATATAAGGTTTTTACCCATTTTGTAAATGATTCGTTTAATCCAAAATGTTTCAAAGTGATTAACGTAAAATCCCAATCCAATGAATCAAAAGCTTTGGTAAAATCTACAAAAACTATTGCCCCTTTAATCGAATATGCGTCCTCATAATCAATAATATCTTGAATCCGTCTTAAATAAAACCAATAGTCACTTAATATATTAAATCCGATAAATCTGTTTTTAATATACCCTGTTTGATTAGTATTAATAATTTTTGGTAGTATCTTCTTAAAGCGTTTTGCTAGAATAAAAGAAAATAATTTTAAATCTACATTTAGTAAAAGAATTGACCTATAAATATCCAACAATAAATTATCCCCCTTTTTGAACAATAATACCAAAATAGTAGTGCGTTGAGAGTGCGATAAACGTGCTATTAATTAAAAATATATAATTGACGACTGGAGATTTAAGAAATAGACTTTATACTGTTTCAATTATTTCGCTTCTTTACATTTAAAGATACAATTTGTTATGAATTTTATATTGTAACAGCGAATTTTGATTGGTTCCTTTATGGACTTGTGATTTTATGAAATTAAAGTTTTTAATTTTGTCGTAGATTGCCAAAAACTAAAATATTTAAATGCATTGCATTTATAGCTAAAGTACATTCTTCTATTGTTACTTCTCTGTCACAGACTGATTTGTTAACGTCATTTGAACTAATTTCTAATTCAGTTTCACAAATATAATTGTCGACTAAGTCTTTTCTGCGATATTTCGAACTGTACAGTTTTTCATAATATTGATTAACTTTTGTCAATAAAACGGCTTAATCTGTTGCTATATTTCCATTCTCGTCACTCAGTTAATTTATCGACTTTTTTACTTTCTACTTGTCTCTGTTTTTTTAAACATAAAATATAATGCATTGTTTTTTCCCATATTCCACCCATTTCTTATTTGATCTAACCTATGCACCTCTAGATTTCTGTTCGTACATCTTACCTCTTCTTGATTCTAAATCATTCATTTCTTCGTCTATTTATGCATCCTCGTGAGGTAATGCACCTCTTAACATATTTCTCTCTACCAGTTGTTTTTCTAGTTCACGACTTAGTTCTCTGTTTGTCTTTGTTTTATATTTACAATATGCTATGCTTACCTCCCTTATTTCTACTTTTAAAACGCATACAATCGCTGAAAGTCAATATTATTTCCATTAGTATATTGATGAATAAGATTATTTATCACATCTTTGTATTTTTCCTATTTTAAAATAGAGTTGTTAATTTTCAAATATTCCTTTCCTCTTTCTTTTAGTATTTCTAATTGTTTTGTACCTTATACATTATTTGCGCATAAATATGTTTTATTTCAGACACGTTATGCCATAGTTGTTTTTCTCATTAAAGTAAACTAACCAATGACCGAAGATATACAAAAATAGGGATATTTGGTATGATTTTCAATGTGACAACTAGTAATAGTGTAACAGGGTCGTATCTTGGTTCTCTACCAAACATAAGGAAGTAAGGTGAGTATCTGGTAGTTGTCTGTCTGGTGCAGTTGTAAGCGTGAACCAATCCAGCTATGTGTGCTTTCCAGTCTTTCTTCTGCGTTGTTTCCAGTGTACCCAACATACTTAGTAATGTTCGATTGAAACGCTCTGTATTCCCGTTGCCCATAGGATGGTAAGGTGTAGTACGTGATTTCTGCATGCCTGTGATGTTACATAGTTCTTTAATGATATTTGATTCAAAGTTGGCACCTTGGTCGCTGTGAATTCGTTTTGGCAAGCCGTAATGTACTACAAAGTGGTTGAAAAAGGCTTCCTTTCATTAGTTGGTGTTTTCCGTCTTATGCATCTGTTACATTGCGTAATCCACTGATCTACATCTCTTGTCATCCCATACCATACAAATCTATCTCTTATAAGTGACAGTGTCTTATCTCGTCCTTGGTGGCCCATGTCATCGTGAAGTGCTTTCAGTACTTTCGGAACGCAAGTTTCTGGTAAAACAATTTGTTTAACTGGTTGGAAATCAAGTGTAGCTTCTCTGAATAGAACACCATCTTTCAGTTGCAATTTGTCGAAGTTATTGATGAACCATGTATTCTCTGATGATCTTTCTAGTTGTTCTTTTGTTGGCTTGCGGTGTTCAGATACCCAATAAATCCATTCTTTCATTCTGTAATCATTCTTCTGTTCTGATTTAATGTCAACCAAATGCTGTGCTGGTAAAGATGTATCATCCACGATTGTAGTAGTATTCATTGACAGACTATCGACGAAAGGTTGAGTATGCTGAAGATTGCAGATGGCTTTTACAGAAGTAGCATCTAAGTTTGATGGTTTACGTCCAAGTAACTCAGGCAATCTCGATAAAGAATCAGCATCGGCATTTTTGGAACCTGGTCTGTAGATGATGTTAAAGTTGTATGATGCTAATGCTGCAATCCAACGGTGACCAGTTGCATCAAGTTTGGCTGATGTTAGCACGTACGTTAGAGGATTGTTGTCTGTCAATACTGTAAAGGTGTTTCCATATAAGTAGTCGTGGAATTTCTCGGTGACAGCCCATTTTAATGCCAAAAATTCTAATTTGTGTACTGGGTAATTTCGCTCGGTCTTACTGAGTCCTCTACTGGCGTAAGCTATGACACGCTTCTTGTTGTCCTGTTCTTGATATAATACAGCTCCTAAGCCTTGCATGGATGCATCAGTGTGTAACTCGAACTGTTTATTGTATCGTGGAAAACCAAGTATAGGTGGTGAAGCTAGTGCTGTTTTAAGTGTTTGGAAAGCCTTTTCTTGAAGATCTCCCCAAATCCATGATTGACTGTTTGGATCTCGGAGTCGTGGCTTGCGTTTCTTTGATGAACTTTTCGGTGGAGGCATTAGATCGGTGAGTGGTCTTGCTATTTTCGAAAAATCTTTGACGAACTTCCGGTAGTATCCTACAAAGCCAAGGAAGCGACGGATTTCTTCTGGTGTTGTTGGACGTGGCCAGTTGGTTACTTTGTCTATCTTTGCAGGATCTGGTTGTATGCCATCTTTGGAGACGATGTGACCAATATATTTAACTTTCTCTTGAAGGAATGAGCATTTCTTTGGAGATAGTTTAAGTCCGCTTTCTCTTAGCCTCTGCAGTACTTTCTCTAATCTGACCAGATGTTCCTCGTAAGTATCGGAGAATATTATAAGATCATCCAGATAAATGAAGCAGATATCAAGATGGAGGTCTCCTAGGATCTCTTCCATTAACCTCTGATATGTCGCTGGGCTGTTGACTAATCCAAACGGCAAGCGGTTGAATTCGTAAAAGCCTAGTGGACCGACAGTGAAAGCAGTTCTCTGCTTGTGGGACTCTTCTACTTCTACTTGATGGTACCCGCTCTTCATATCAAGTACTGTATATAGCGTGTTACCTCCTAGAGCGTCTAGTATCTCTTCGCTGCGTGGCAAAGCGTATGAATCCTTCACGGACCTTTGATTAAGTTGTCTGTAATCAATACACATTCTGAGTTTCCCATCCTTCTTTCGACAAAGCACTACATTAGATGACCAAGGTGAGTGTGAGCGTCGTATTATGCCAGCTGTGAGTAGTTGTTGTAGATGTGTACGAACTTCATCAAACATGGCTGGTGGTATACGCCTATGTCTCTGCTTGAACGGTGTATCATCAGTGAGATCAATTCTATGACGAACTGCATCTGTGTGACCAATGTCTGTGTCTGACATACTAAATACATCTCTATACTGTCTAAGTAGTTGTTTACCTTTTTCTAACTGTTCGTTACTGAGTACGTCTGCTGGTAAGTTGACATCGTTCAAAACATCATAATCTGTATTATCTTCTGTATCTATATCAGCAATTGAGACTGGTTGCAGTTCACAAAGGATAGCGTTAGGTGAAACTGTTATGGTTCTCGTTGTTACATTACTGATATGTACAGGTACTAATCTGTTATCTCTGTATTCGTAGTTGACAAGTGTTGGAGCTATGTCTAAGTCTATAGGTACTGCTGCCTTTTGTGTTGGTTGAAGTATTCCACATACAGGGTGGTACGGCAACTCATGGTCCATATAACCTTGAAGCATGACATCTTTATTCGGTGGAATGCGAACAGTCTTTCCCTCTGCGCATTTAATCAATGCTAATCTGTTGTTTCTCTTGTTGAGTTCTTTCTCTCTGAGTAAAAGGCATCGAAACGTCATATACCATGGAGTGATCAAGTTGGCGTTTTGCAAAAATCGATGACCAAAACGTTGTTTTACATCATCCATTGCTCTATTCAATACGTTGGTACCAAGTAGCAAAGGTACAGACTTGTTGTAGGTACTATCAGGGACTACTAGTAGTAGTAGTAGTAGTGTCATTTTTACGCCTATTAAATAACAGTAAAAATATCTTTATAACGTACTTTGAATTGATTGTATTTATTATAAAAGTTTAACTCTTGAATTTTGATGAAGGAATATTATTATTTAATTCCAAATCTACACTTTACTTTTTATATTTAGTTCATGAATATTCAAAAGGTTCTTAGTTAAAATTGCGTATCTGATTGGTCATTGTGATTTCGCGGTCAATTTATATTTTGTATTGACCAGGTAGATTTGAACGGGAACTTGAAATGACAGCCACATGATATTGTGTGTCCCGAGTTATATTACCTGTATATTATTATTTTCATTCATTGTGGACACAACATATATCTGATTAATGTAAGTTATTTTCTTTATTATATAAGTTATATTTTCACATGTAAATGATAAAGTTAGCAAAGTTTCTATTGTATGACTTCGTTCTCCCTCGTAAAGTTTGATTATTACATTAGTATGATAGATGTACCCGAGAATATTTTATTTAGCTTCATGCTACATATATTTTATTATCTACCGTTAATTTGTCACGATAGAATATAGAACAAGATAATTTGCGCAGCTATTTGATTATTGACACAGATAATTGATATTTCATAAATGGCGGCATATTAAACAAAATAAGGAAAAGTGTTAATGTTGATATTTATTAGTACACTTATATTATACAATGTAATGATAGAAGTATAACTATGAATGAACTTGAGTTATTTTGTCATATTGTATATTTTAATATTTTACGAGTCCGAATGTTTATGATTACATTTTGGTTTTAGGACTCCATTGATGTAGTTATATACAGAGTATTACTTGTGAACTGTGCCTACTCCTTACCAGTAAAACTCACTCCACAAGTGGTAAGAGTCAATCTATTTTAATTATGTAATGTTGTAAACAGAACGTTATGGATTATTTCCCTTTAAATATGCGGTTTTAAGCATCTTTAAGATATTGGCTTAATTAGTCTTTATAAAAATAGTATTTGCAACTTAATGATTGTTGTAATGTAATAGTATGTAAAGAACAAATAATATATTATGTTCCGATTAGTTTATTGTTATATGTGCAGTTTTAACTTTAGTTTTGTACCGTACACATAGTTTACCAGTAAACATTATATAGTACACTATTTATGATCAAGGGTTACATTCTTGTGTAGTATATCACAATGAGAAATAAAAGTACACGTGACATCAATTTACTGAATGTATTTATTATTGAATTAGTAGTATAGTACACAGTAATTAAGAGCATTGTATTTTACTATTACCATATGTGATAATGTGTAATTTAAGATACTTGTGTTTTATAAAATAGAACTGTTAATTATAATTGTGATATTGTTATTTCAGAGTTTATTTTCTATTACTGGTATTAAATCATCCGAACCCTATAGAACAGAGTTTGTTATTTACTTAATCCAAGATACGACCCTGTTACAATAGAACAGACAACAATAATTTGAAGTAGTAGTGTATGTTACCGTATGGCCTTTAACAATGAGAAAACTTCATTCGTAAACACTGAAAAGTAAGCTTTAAAGGGCAGCAGTATTATACAATATAAACGTCACAAAAGAGAAAACAATGGCGTGATTTATGCTACAAAAATGAAATGTTATAGATCACGCGTCTCTTTCTATGCATGCATCACCGACTATGCATGCAAATCCACACTCATTCAAACGTAAACAATCGTGTTTATGACAACATTGGTACATTTTCAGACCTGATGGTGATTTGTTTATCTGAAGAGCTAAGCCAGTAAAAACATTTCGCTATGAGTAAATTAGGAACACAAAATATCGATCAACCGATTCTGTTTTGAGTCAATTAATATATAACCGTACTGTGTTTGAAGTTTGTCCTACGTAAAAAGTGGCTTCTATTGTCCCAAATATAGACGCAAAGCGTCGCGGAACTGGTAAACGGGTATATGCGACGGTCAAACCAAGTTTTACGGAAGTCAAGCCTCATATACAATTCGGTTGTATCTATTCTAATGCAAAATATACAAATTAGTCCATTTAAGACCTGCATGATTTCTATATAAAATTTCCTCAACAAAAATTCTGCTGAATGATGTCATTGTCTTTGACAACTTAAGAAGATGACACCAAATGTATGCTTATGGAGTCAAACGTAAACACCGGGCATTTCAATGCTTCTATTACGCATCAGAATGTAGTTTCATTTTTCGGGGACAAATGTGAGTTTTTATATTTATTATTGAAGAAATAGCATTTCAATTTATTGCAAAATTCAAAATGTCGGATTTCCTTAGTTACAGACATGTAGATAGAGGATATTACGCTTGCTTTCATCCAATCAGAATGGATTTTTATCATTGATACAAAATGATTGCATTGTAAATCAAAAGTCACCAAGTAAGGTAACACATGACCGTTCATTACATTTATGATTTCAATTCTATTAACGGTTATTAAAATGCTCAATTTTTTTTTGTTGCAGTTTAGTGTTTCTCTTGTTCCATTATTTTTTTCTGATAGTTGCTGTGTTTCCCTAGGTTTTAGTTTGTAACCCGTATTTGTTTTTGCTTAATCCATGTGTTACTATTGAACAGCGGTACACTACTGTTGCATTTATTTACTACCGGTGAACGGATAAAGTTTGCAAGATTATGCATTCCTTCATTCATAAGGCGTATGCTAAAACCTAGTTCACAATTTAACACGGACAGTTTCGTATATTTCGTATCAGCAAAAGTAATTATGCTGGTCATTTTTTATAATATAAAATATTCAAATCAGCAGAAATGCTGGCCTTACATTAAAATTATTGACTGATAAACAGGAAGTAATTTATTAAAATATATTTCAAAGACGCGATCAGAGTTGCATATGTTTCAAATTTAGTTTGGCTTTCTACGAATGTATAATTCATTTATCATGGTAGATATTTGTAGATGTCAGTCACTTTACAATAAATTATTGTTAATGAAATTAATGGAAAAATGAAAAAAGTCAGAAAACTTCCGTATACATGATTATAAACATGTTATTATGAGAAAACATCATTTTGTTGGTGATAAAACAAAACGATCGAACATTACCCATCATAAGTGTAAAACACTTGAAAATCTGTACCTAAAAAGAAAGCGAAACTCAATCTTAATGATCCTAGTTAAAACTGATTTCTTATTTTCATCTGTAATTCAACCATTACAGGTGTAAATATGTCACATGATATCAGGATTAATTTTTTTTTTTTAATCTAGTATTATCTCCATCGATTCTTATCGGCAGTCCCACCAAACAATGCTGACGTGCATGTAATTGGATTGCTTAATTTACATAAAATATAAAACATGTTTTACATGAAACGTTTCTTTGTCATCGTTGTGCAGATAACTTTAAGACATGATTTTTTTTCCTTTTAGATTTTGAATTTAATACCCCACCAAAAACTGGGGGTGATCTCAGGTGCTCCGGAAGGGTAAGTAGATCCTGCTCCACATGTGGCATCCGTCGTGTTGCTCATGTTATTACAAACCCGGTAAATTAACTAATTCGGTAGGTCACATTCATGAAAAGGGAACGGGATTGTAGTTACGACATAAGGAACATATCCAATATCATCTGTGAAATGGATATTCCTTAACGGTCAACCAACTCGTGATGGCGTCCGTAAAATTTACGAAGGGATGATTTCAACTTCACCATTTGGAACTCTTGGTTTAATAGCTTCCTTGTGAGCAGCAACCCCCGGGTATATCGTATCAATTGGGAGACATATATACTCCGTATGCAGGCGCTGCTGGAATGTTGCTAGACAGAAATGGAAAGTTCACAATTGGGAAGCTGAAATCATCTCTTGTGTCGTAAAGTTTTGTATTCAACCGACCCTCATTGTCAATTTCTAGATGTAAGTCAAGATATGAGGCAGACTTAACTATGTCCGTTGTATCCTTTATCTCTACTCCGATAACACTCAAATTATATGCAATGCTAATTAATGCTAACTATAAAAGGTTAATATTTCGCCCTCGTACACGCTCGTTAATTTCCTATTTACTATCCATCTAGCACCGCATAAACACAAAATTGATAGATGGAATGATCGATTACTTCACCAAACAATGAATGGACAAAGATACCTTGGGTACCATGGTACAACATCTCAGTGATACAACAGCACTGTCATTTAAATGTAAACACATATATTATTTTAAGACATTGTGTATTAACAACTTCTAAAGCTCAAACCTGCTTCCCATACACTTAATACTATAGCGAACCTATATCAGACATTATACAACATGTGATCTAAACAGCGAGCGACAGAAGAAACCTACATTCGGCTATTGACAATAGTCGATAGACGTTCATTTAAATTATTCTAAGATATCAATTTTCTCGATTGAATAAATCCGATAATCCACTGATATCAATGTAAGAATCTATATTTCCACATCATCAAGTACATTTATTTTTTAAGATAAACATGTGAATGATGATAATCTACCTGAATACTAGTATACTTCATGATGATCGACAGTAGTTTACATACTAACACACCACCAACGTTCGACTAATCTTGAAAAAGGGCGAATAAGAAATAACGTGGTATATTTAATTATAATTTAAATGTACCATAATAGTTATCAAACATGATAAATAGTTCAAAAGACGACACTTGCCACTAGCATCTTTTGTGAAAAGAATAAAAATAACATGTCCATGGTATACATCATGCTAATTGAAAAGGACTGGAGACGTTATCAAAATTATTTGACAATACCATAAAATTAGAATTGGGAATGGAAATGGGGAATAAACTACTCTTATCACATAAATCCAACACCTCTGTGAACTTATCAAAAAAGTACGTAATATTTCATTATAATTGTGAAGGACAGTTATAGTTATTTTTGACAGAACCAAACACTGAACCATAAACGAAACTAACTAGCTACATCTTGTTTCTCTGAGAGAGAAAAACCAGACACACAGTAAATAGCACATGGTATAGTTCATTCTTATTAGAAAGGACATGAAGAATTATCAAAAACACTTGACAGTATAACTGCCGACACCCTTCCGGAGCACCTGAGATCACCACCAGTTTTTAGTTTTCTATGTTGTGTCTTGTGTACTATTATTTGTCTGTTTGTCTTTTTATTTTTTAGCCATGGCGTTGTCAGTTTATTTTCGATCTATGAGTTTGACTGTCCCTCTGGTATCTTTCGCCCCTCTTCTACCACCTACAACCTACATCCGGCTTTTCAAGTAAAAAGACAAACATGTAGACAAATTGTTCTGATATCCCGAATAGGTAAATCATAAAGTATGGTTGAATTTAAACACTTTTCCGTAAACAAAAAACTCTTCTATATTCCTTTTAGTATCATATGTTGTAAGTTAACTGAAGAATACATTGTACAGTCCTTAAAATATATACATTTAACACTGTTCCAAAAAAGTTATAACTCTGGAGATGCATTAGCGTTTAATGTATCTTGAAGATGACATGTGATTCGTTATTGACACGTTAACCTAGAATAAACTCTACTTGTGTAATCAATATGAAACATGTATGCCTACTTATTTATCTTGATTTAATAAAACATTAGGTGAAGTTGAAAATAGGGAATTGAAAAATAATCACTTTGGTCTCCAACCGACCGGAATAAAAAAAAACCCTTGACAGTGGTCTGTTTGGTTGTGCGTAATGAATATGGATCAGAATGGGATTGTGAATCCGAAGTCTCGTGTAGATACTGTGGTTTCTAATAGAGGACAACTAAAAGTATTTGTTGTTAAATTGTTATATTACAGGACAACTTAAAGTATTTATTGTTAAATTGCTATATTACAGGACAACTTAGAGTATTTATTGTTAAATTGTTATTTTACAAGACAACTTAAAGAATTTATTGTTAAATTGTTATATTACAGGACAACTTAAAGTTTTTATTGTTAAATTGTTACTAACAATTGTGTTTTTTTTTTTTTAATTTGCTTATATTCAGTCAAATCAACAGTAGTCGTTTAATGAAGCTGAAACTAAGAGGAAAAAATCTTCCCGGTAAACAAATTTTAAAGCACTTGTTCAGATGATATCTTCTTTTGTTTGTGTTAAAACAAATAGATAGAAAACTTCTGATAAAATGTATAAAGACTTTTATAAATACACTTTAAAGGAAATTGAAACACAACTTTACTGAATCATCTTCTGAAACCTACTCCATTCCGAATTGTTTACATACATTTCCTGGTGGTCACATGCAACAGTCCAACGAATTTTATTTCTTCTTTTTTTCTTTTGGTCCCTGATACGTTTGATGCAATTGTACACGTTTGATACAGACACGATGTATAGTTGTTCTTTTACGTTCTAACCAATTACCAAAATATATATATAAAGAGATATGGTAAGTATTTGTTTATGGTAACACAAGCAATAATAAATTACATTCGAAAAGCAATGTAAATGAAATGTTATTTATTACTTTGGCATGTAATTGACCCCAGGTCTGATCTGATCTTGTTTTAAAGATCTGCATGTTGCAATTATAAAGAACGAAATATTATGTGCTTTACATTGCATACGGAGATGTACAAGTCATTGTGTTGATGGTTAGCTTAACGAGTTTCTCCTTATTATTTTTATGAAAAACTCTATCCGATGGTGTTCTTTTTACATTATAAACACTGTCCTTTTACGGTCTAAGTGAAGTTTCACCTACATATGGGATATACATTAACCAATGCATTAGTTATTCAAGAGCTTACAGCTGCTACTCAGACTTTATAAAACGTCACCAGTGTCTGAGCAAAATGTTGATTAACCAGGGTTATGTCAAAGAACGTCTCGTCATTTTAAAACAAAAAGGTCATAGGAAAATATCAAGACCTTGTTGATTAACATTCGGTATCAACTTCACAAAAAATACACGATGGTCTTGAAGTATAGTTTTTAGGTACTGACGTTGTTTATCATCTTAATGACGTTTCAAAGTGTTATTTTATTTGTCTTTTAATTAAATTAATACTTTTATACTCTTTAGTAATGTTTTGGTAACATCCATTTGACGTGGATCCGTAGGACAGTATTCAAAAGAAAGAATTAAAGGACAAAAAGTCACAATATGTTTTGGGAATTTTTTTTGATATAAATAAGAAGATTTGATATGAGTGCCCTAAAGACAACACTCTATCCAAATCACAATGTGTAAAAAGTTACAATTACAGGGGCTCACACCGAACATCAAGTTATAAAAGACTCCAAAATAACTAGTGTTAAACGATTCAAACAGGAAAAACAACGGTCTAATCTAAATAAAAAACGAGAAACACATCTGAACCACATCAACGATTGACAACCACTGAACAATAGGCTGCTGAATATATTTCAAGAAACCACCGAGTTACTAGCATACACTTTTATAGAAAAAAATGAGACTTTAGAATTGACAAGCAATATATACCAAACAATATATATCCTTTTTAATGTTCAAATTAGTTAAATTTATTCAACCTCCATATTTTTACATGTCATTATCGTATATTCGAAATAAGTACTAAAATTGCTGTTATGCAATATCTTCGGTTAGTTTTAACTATGGCGTCTGTAGTGTTCAGAATGAAGCTATTTTATAAAGTCTAGGCGAAAAATATCAAAGGGCCACATTCATTAGTCGAAAATAAACTGCCAACATCATTACAAATAAAAAAAGACAATCAATAGTACACAAAATACAACATATAAAACTAAAGATTGAGCAACACAAACCTGATCTTAAACTTGGAGTGATTCCAGTTGCTCAGGAAGTGTTAGCAGATCCTGTTCCACATGTGACACCCGTCGAGGTGTTCATGTTAGTACACACCCCGTATTAAGTCTGATTTGTTAGGTTAAATTTGGGAAAATGGGACGGGATTATGGTTAGAGCATATCCTCTATCATCTGTGAAACGGATATTCAATAACGGTCAACTAACTCGTGATGGCGTCCGTAACATAAACGAAGGAATGATTTCAATTTCACCATTTGGAACTCTTAGTTTAATAGCTTCCTCGTTAGCAGCAACCATCTATCAAGAAAGTCATGATAGGAAATACCCTGGAATATCGTATAAATTGGGAGATATAAACTGCTGCTGGAATGTTGCTACATAGAAATGGAAAGTTCACAATAGGGAAGCTGAAATCGTCTCTTTTGAACAGTGATATACTACTGTTGCCTTTATTTGTCGTATAGTTTAGTTTTCAACCGAAAGTGTTAAACATACTGAGCTATGATACTATGGCAGGTGAAATTATAAAATAGCTATGCAATTACAAAGTTTCTTAAATATTCTATAGACAATTGGTGTAATTACTTGTTGATTATTGGCACGTGCAATAGATCTCAATCTTTAAAGACAGATCAAATGAAATAACACCTGATACTTTGGAATGAATAATTATTTGTTAAAGTGTAACCTGAATAAATAAATAAATACATGTTTTGTAATACTAACTAATCAGTCTGTCAGATAGGTTTATGTTGCTCACTCTGATAATAATAGTCTTTGTGAATCATGAAAATGATTTTTGAAATCTTTTAAAAAAAAAAAAAAAAGAGTTTAAATTATATTAATTCCATAATTTCTTTAAAAACAGAAATTAAAAATCAACAAACGATTCTATGTTGAATTATTTTAAAGTAATATTTTTAATTCTAGCATATAAATTATATATTTTTTGTATTTAAAATGTATCATCAACCAGACGGGGAGTAACTCCTTGTGTCATACTGACACACTGAACGGTCTGACCAATTTGAACATTATTGTTTTATGTTTGGCCTGAATTCGTCAAAAAATGTTATCATACAGTTACTATATCTCAATTGAACGTTCGAGCATTCCATCTTGTTAAACTTGACATGACTGAACGAACGGAAATATCACAATAGATCGGAACAGCGTCTTTAAGTCAGCAAAAGTCTTAGCGTTTTTCTCTCGTGGTTTAATCAGTCGATTAGGACTTTATCAGATTAAAATGATCGTTTCAGACTAAAATCTTGATACTAGTGACCAATTAGTAGGTGAAATACAACATCAACACAATCAAATTTCACATGCATTGCCAACCAGTTTTGTTTTTCTTATTTCTGCTGTTCTGGAAAAATGACAACCCGTTTGCAGTGCTTCCTCATAGCACTGATAGGCTGTGTCTTTAGCACCGGATATCTCATAGCATACTCCAAGTATTGTTAATGAATCAGAAATACACATTGAGGGAAGTAAACATCTACGTTCCACTGTTTGATATAAATCACGTAAAGACCTTTGTCTGTTGAGAATATCATAAAGATGATGATAGCATAGGAAATTAAGGCAGTGGGATAATACAACAGGCGGAATGGGTAAAACGTCTTTTGTTTCAACCTCCAGCTGTAGTTCTTCTGGAATTAATGATGAGTTCATAATGTAATTGACATTATTTACAGTAGCTATTTTCATCCTGTCATTCAATGTCATTGTAGAATGTATATTTTGTCGATAACAATTTCTGTGAATTTTACAGTTGTAATGTTTCGTATGCATCATATCAGCTGAACATCGTGATAGAACATAATCCGTTAGTCGTAGTGAAGCACTAAACTGTCCTGTTACATAATAAAACGATGCGTATAACAACCAACCTGATACAGCATCAGTCTTGGTGCCGTTTTGTAAATGTCTATGATAGCATTTGCGTATGTTGTACGTGTTACCTATTATGTTTGGTGATGGTAGTAGTTGTACTACAAATTGGCTGATTTCGGCAAAATGATGTGTACATATCCCAATAATAAATGAAGACGATTCGGACTTAAGCAAAGATTTAGATCTTTTAATCATTTTTTTCGAACTGGAAACTAAAACCGATGTACATGTAGTCCTGTAAAATAGGATGTCTAACATAATGGAAGGACATTCGCTATTTGTACTTGAAAAACGGGGATTTTTATTGTTAGGTGGAAATAAACTAGTTATCAACCCGTCAATCCCTCCTAACTTTATACTCTCAAGTACAACTAAAAGAATCTGATTGTTAATCTGATTGATCTTTCCTAGGAACATATTGTGTTCAGGTATAAAATAGTTCGGACAGTAACATGAGTTTACCCATGACATTAATTTATCAAGACAGAGAGAAAAACAATAATACAATTTAGATAATTGAAATGTGTCAATATCTGACTCCTCTGAGACCCAGAATAAAACCGTCTTCAGGAAGTAGGAACACAACAAGTCTTTGACATCATTATTTGTGTTAACTATACACTTTAATGTCAACTTGAGTAGACCGTAACATAAGTATTGAGTAAAATTAAACGAATGTACAAGTATTTTTTCTGCCACAGAAAAAGATATTCTCCAAAAGAGTTTATTATTAGATAACGTCTTAGGTCCTATAGGTACTAACAGGCATCCGTATTTTATGATCCTGTCAATAACAAAGTCAGAAGGCCATTGCCATCGGTGACGAGACGCCCATGCAATTGCGTTGTTGGGAAGATATTTACTCCGTATGCAGTATGCAATATCAATCGTTTGGTTATGGTCTGTTATACATGGGCCGTGTACATATGGCTTCATATAGGAATAATTTTTCCTAGCTAAATCAAGAACATTGTGTATTGGAAAATAAAATTGTGTATTGGTACATGTACCTGGTGGACAACGGCTACATAATTCACGGGGGCATAACCCATTAGGTCCTGATACCATTCTGAGTCTAGCGAACCCAGGATGATTAACATCTGTTTCCATATATAATGCAGTATGATGTATTGGTTTTTCTATGTTCTTTATATTATCTATAACTTCTATGTCATTCATTACGTACATGACATCCATGTCACTGCCAGGTAAATCAAGACCTTCTGCCAAACTTCCACTTGATATGTGTATACGATTTCTAGAATCTGCTGAATTGATGATCATATCATGTATTATAAATAGTCGTTGTCTCGTTCGTATATCTATTTCACTACCAACTGTTTGTACTAGGAGTTCGTACATATATTTCTCCTTCGGATCAATCCAAAACAAGTGATCTTAAAAAAATATGCGTATTTACAAATGTATCATTAAACCTTAAAATCAGTATAGAATATTAGCTCCCCTACATGTATCCAAGCGATAGTTTTGATTATAGCGTCTATGATATGTGTTATGTAGACGCAAAAGACTTCTAACGTTGTGAATGCATTTGCAGATATGACAATTTACAATCAATGGAACAAAACTTGTCATGTACGCTAGTTTGTCTTTGCGATCGGGGTGTCATTGGCCTAGTATTCAAAACCAGTAAATGTCATATATGTGGAGCAGGATCTGCTTACCCTTCCGGAGCACCTGAGATCACCCCCAGTTGTTGGTGGGGTTCACGTTGCTTAGTCTTTAGTTTTCTATGTTGTGTCTTTTGTACTATTATTTGTCTGTTTGTCTTTTTATTCTTTAGCCATGGTGTTGTCAGTTTATTTTCGATTTATGAGTTTGACTGTCCCTCTGGTATCTTTCGCCCCTCTTGTTAAATGATGATATGAAGTATCCTTGGTTCGTTGTATTTTTGGTAATATACCGTATATCGGGTTATTTTCGCGGGTGTAAACTCTCGCGATTTAGGGACAACTAAGTATACGAAAAATTTTGGCGGTTTTTATTTTGGCGGATTCTTTTATCCCAATTAAATATTTTAGCGGATACTAAAACGGTTGCAGTGAAAAAGATGTAAAATTTGACAAACAAGTGTCTACGTATTGTTATGATTAAACGATTATTTTATATGCATGAGTTCTTATCTATTGAATATGTTTTGATACAGTTAATCAATAGAATACCAGTACTTAGATATTTGTCACAGGTCTACAAACTTCTTGTAAATGTTACGGTTGGTTAGTTATGAAATTGACCGGACCTTTGATGTACTTATTAGAATATAATATTATTATAGGTGACTTGCAACTCTTATATAATTTGACACTAATCAATAGGGATAAAATACCTGAAAAAGTACCTTACACTCTTATATCATTAATTATTATTTTATTGTGTAACCAATTAAGTAATTAACACCTGACAGCCAGTAAACAATGGTATTTTAACATAAACCATCATTGATCCGACGAACATAAAAAAATAGACAGTTTACAAAAAACTCTTTGGTTAGTAGAAAGTACCGAACGATGCATATATTTTCACGGAATTTAATTTCGCGATTTCCCCTTAACCGCCAGAATTAGCGATAATAAACACCTTACGAAATAATCCGTTATACGGTGTTATATTGAAACGAAACTGGGGTACTGTCTACACGACCTTAACTTAATATCTACTAAACAGCAATCCAACGGTTTCCTTTAGTCTAAATCTAGGGTAGGGTTCGGCCTATGCTTTCGCTCTAGGACTTCTATTATAGTTATGCCCGACAAGAATATTTTTAAGTTTTATTAGGTATTATTTTACCGGTCCATGCCACCAGTTTATAATTGATTTAAAATGTGTGTTCTGGAACTAAATGTGTCTGAAGTTCAGTACTCTTCGAGATTCAGTCAGGAGTGTCTTCTAGAATCTTTCACCAATGGTGGATAAAAGAGGACCTAGACTGCTCTTCTGGCCAAACAGGCCCTAACCTTAGACCTTGACCGTAGTCAGGCTACCATAGTATTGGACTATAGAGACCAACAGGAATAATAATCTGGATCGTCACCAAATATACAAGGATCTGGCGGTATCGGTTTACAAGAGAAATCACAATCCCAAACTCAGTCGTTCTGGTAGTAGTCCAGAAATAAACTACATCTCTATATGAATCCATCAGTATATTTCCACTCAAATATGAAGTACAATCCCACACTAACACTATAGTATAGACTTTTGTATGTGCTAGAGTAAAAACTAAAACATTTTTAATAAGCCTGGGGTTAAACAATGAATAAAGAGGCGACAGACCGACGGACCAAAAGTAACTAGCCCGACCTAACAATTTTGGACGTTTCAAGCATGGCACCACAAATGTAAAGATAAGTAATAAAACTTTTCGAAAACTAGTTCTCTATTTCAACCAGTATACCAAATATACAATTAACATGATTAACAAGAACCAAATAATAAACTGCTGAAGGGAAAGTTAAAACAAAATAAGACAATATGCTTTCTCACAAACGGTCTGTAATCAGGAAATACTGAAACGCAGGCACATTGAAATAGGTCGAGATCTAGGTTGATACAAAGGGAAGTAACCGGGATTAATTTTTAATCAAAAGACCAATTCATGCTAGGGACAAGGCGTTGCTCTGTAATAAAATAATCAGTAAAGTACAACTTTTATTAAACAACACGTATATGAATCAGCTGCATATTTAATTTGTTACAGTTTTTTGTGAGTCAATGGTCTAATTCTGCAGTCTCCATAATAGTTTCCTAGACAAAGAAATAAATTGTTTTAGTATCTGTAGTTTTCTCTAACGACTCACTCTGCCGTTCTGCTCAGGGTTTGCATTTCGAACTTGCTAGTTAGCGCTTCAATACTTAAATTTACCGTCTTTAAGTTCAAGTCATAGATTTGAGACGTGCACGTGAATGTCAACAAATAATGACCCCGAACTTTTACTTTCTTTAACCAGCGATCTATAAATAACTTTAACCTTAACAACTGACTAGCTGAACAGTTAATCGAACCTCGTTATTCGCAAACTGACAACTTTTATTCAGTTCAAAGAACTATACAAAAACTCAACTCATAAGTTAAATCATTTAACCAGCGAACCGCTTTCTAAATAAATTACGCCTCAATGCGTAAATATTCTAAGTTTCCGCTAAATATAAAATGCAAACCCTGATAAAAAACTAGCCAGTTTTAGTCAATCAAAATGTATACATAAATAGGAGGGGGGACTTCTTACCTAAAAATACTGTAATACACATTTTCTTCAATACACTAGTTTATATAGCATATAAAATAGCGCGAAATTCCTCACCGAGACCAATCCCAAAAAATTCGCGCACATGGTTGAAATTTCCCTCTTTACCTTACGTCCACACACAATGAATCTGAGCTGGGAATTATTACCAGAAGACAATCACTGAACGAGCTAATTTTCCCCGGGAACTCAATTGAGCTCTCTGATTGGTTGAGAAAGGAAAAATATTTTGAAGGCTAATGCGAGGTTCGTTACATGTACGTCACTAAAATTTAATGAATGAAAAAAAAAATCAGAAAGTAATAAAATAATAATAAATCTTTCTGGGAAAATAATAAAAAATACTAATAATGAAATAAATAAATGAACCAAATAAAGTGACCCACAAACGTTACAATATCAACTGTTGAATTATTCAAATCTCAGTTGTTTTCAAAACATTAGCTGTATTTAGTTTTAAAATAATTTGTTTAAGCGCTTCTATTGAAGATATATGTACTATTGGAATAGCGAGCTAGATGCACATAATGAATTAAGATTTATGCCATTATTTAACAGCAATCCTAATAATTGAGTGATTTTGAATCTTACGTTATTACTAAAAATTGACCTTTACATTTTTCAAAGTCTTATATTCATCAATACTTTTTTTTCACAATCAAGTATTGTACTATTTATGTTTTATCATCCCGTCCACTGGCCTATAATTGTAAATAATATAAAGCGACTTATTACCAATGTGTGTTGTCGTTATTATTTTTGTGGTTTCTCCGTTTTGGTTATGATGTTGTCTGTTTGTCATTTCGATTTATTAGTTTTTTGCATGTTTGTTATTTCTTCTTTTTGACGTAGTATTGTCCTATGTAAGACTGTTTCTAGACCTGCATTACATCAAAAGCAACTTTTATTTTCCTGAATTTTAGAAAGTAATATTACAAATGTGTTACCTTTATTACAGTCTGTACAGTTCTCTAAGTATTCCAGATATTCTTTTGAAGATTTGTCAGGATATCTAAGGTTAAGTATCCATTGCTGTTTTGATTTCCTTCTTTCCAAACAAGCTTTATACATTCGTTCAAACTGACTGATCGTTAGCCCAAAAACGTCATTTGAGATCACCATTCCTCCATCTAAAGATTGGTAAAGTAATGGTGTAAACGTACGCTTTCCGCGGTACAGAAAACGTTTTACACCGTATATTTCCCAGTAAGTTATTTTCTTTATGCCAAATACGTTTTTATCATCTGAATTGTTTTGGTTTCTGGTATTTCCGTTCATGATACCTGTAAATGATAGGCGAAAGATACCAAAGGGAAATTCAAATTCATAACTTGAAAATAAACTGACAACGCCATGACTAAAATAAAAACAACCGACATACAATACTACACAAAACACAACATAGAAAACTAAAGACTGAGCAGCACGAACCCAATTTCACTTTTTTTAGTTTTAGTTTAACATCGGATTTTAATTCATAGTTCAAGAACTTATTTTTATTAATGTCTTAATAACAGAGGATTACAAACGTGTCTAAGCACCTGCACCAAATTTAAGGAAGAAAAGACAGAAACGCTTATAACAAATACGTATTGTCCTCAAATCATGAGCGATTGATACGTTAACATTGATTAATGTTGCAATACTTATATTATTAATTAGATGATAACAGGAACGTCTATTTCTTGTCTGATATATTATGGTTATTTGAGGTTATCGATGTTAAAGTCTCGTAACGAATCAAGGTAACAACATAGACAGAGGGAATCCCTTGAAATTCAACAAGATCGACACAAGTTGCGTCGAAAGGGTCTCCTGCTATGAATGTTTTGGACAGCGGTATACTACTGTTGCTTTTATTTATCAAAAATAAAATAATCTTACCTTTTATCGCTGGGCCGCTTGATGTTAACATGTTGCCTCACATTACTACTTGACTGATTAAACGTAGGAGTTTAGGGAAACTGAAACAAAGAGAGCAAAACTTCCTGATGAAAACATTGTAATTACTTGTACTGAGGCTATGTGATTTTGTTCATATGAAAACACAAGTTTCGTCGACAGGGTAAACGTCTCCTGCTAAGAATGTTCTATCAAAGATGAATATCTTACCTTTGATCGCAGGGCCGCTTGATGTTCACTTGTTGCTTCACACTTTTATTTGAATGATTCTTCGTAGGAGTTTAGGGAAACTGAAACAAAGAGAGAGAAAACCTTCCTGATGAAAATACTATAAATTATTGTATTGATGCTATCTGATGTCGTTCGTACTATAACAAGGATGGGTGGTCACTTAACGAATTGTTAAACACTTGTATGAATATAATTACAAGCAAATCGAAACACAACATTAATGAATCTTTATTCAAAACCTTACTCTAGTCTTAAAGTTAACTTAAGATTCACATGAAATTCACATAAAATTTACACACACAAAAATTATATTTTTCAAGATTTCGATAAAACTTGAAAATTTAGGTGTAATTTGAATTACTTTTTTTTATGTATTATTGTAACGTGAACTCCACGTATGTGCTCGTTTGAGGTGAAATTTACGTGAATAGAAAAAAGCATTGCTATGCATGATGAAGAAATATTGGCATCGATTTTACAAAATATACAGAGAGAAAAAGACAATAGCGTTATTTGTGCTACAACAATAAAAGACAATGCAACATTATATCTTTTCATGCATCAAACATCAAGCGAGACCACACTCAGTCAAAGGTAAACAATCGCGAATAGGAAAAACTGGTACATTCTAAGATCAGACGACTCCACACTCAGTCAAAGGGAAACAATCGTGGATAGGAAAAACTTGTACATTTTAAGATCAAACGCTTATTTGTGTATCTAAGGATCTACAATCGTGAGAACATATCGCAGATGAGTTGAGTTAGAAACAAATCATATTCATCAACCATTTTACTTTGGATTAATAATCAATCGAATGTGTCACTCCATTCACCCAATAAGGTAGCACATGACCGATCAATAAATTCATGTTTCTAAGATTCTGTAAATCTTAAAATTATATTGAAGTGTTTGCTATTTCATTTAATGGAAAATAGTGAATGAATAAAATTATTTCTTCATTCATTAATTGAACGTTATTAGCTAACAATTGGACAATGGCGGTTTTGTATGTTTTTGATAAGCAGACAATGCACTTAATTTCAAAAAACAATTATGTCGGTCAATTGTCGTTATATCTAAATCATTCATTATAGCAGAAATTTTGACCTTATTTTAAAATCTGTTTACTATCATAAAAGAAGTCATGGTTTGGAAATTAGTTTACTGTTGTAAATATAGGTTCATCTGTTAAAACTTTTGATTGGTTTTCTACCTTTAAATAGTTTATGAATCACAGTCGATATAATCATAGTTTTGCGACAGTTTTTCGTATATTATTGAAAGTAAATTAAAGTAAATTTGAAAAAAAGACAGAAACACTTCCTTATACTAGATTTGAAAACTTGTTATTCTGTTAAAACATCATTTTGTTGGTATTCAAACAAAACGATGGAACTTTGTCAATCATCAGTGTTAAACACTTGAATACATGTACTTCAAAGGAGATAAAAATTTAGTCTTAGACATGTTAGTTAGAAATTAAACTCTATTCTTATCTGCAATACAGTTATTAAAGATGTGAATATGTCACATGAAATAAGGAATTATTGTATTGTTTGTAGTTAAAAATTATCTGCAAATGCTCCTAATTGGTAGTACAATGCTATATATTTAAGGTTAATTATAAAAGCTAAATATCCCTCGTAACCGCTATATAATTCCTTCTAGGATCGTTTAGGCAAATGGTTAATAGAATGATTTGTTGCATGACACAAACAATAGTATTCATAAATATTGATACGTTGGGTACCATGGTAGAGCATCTCAGTGATAGAATAACTAAAGGTTTACACAAGTAATTATCAAAGACATTTTCTATATACAACTTCCTAAGCTCTAAGAAGCTCCACATACTATAACAAGCATTACCAAAATTTGTACTGTACAGCGAGCAATTTCTAATTAAGAATATTTTTTTCTTCATTTTATTAATATTCAGTTAATCAACAGTTGAAAATAAGTCGCTATATCATGTATATTGACTTGCTGAAATTTATAGATGTTGGATTAATGCAATGAAAATTTAAAAATGAAGTAAAAGTATTTGAAAATATGCAAATTATATAACGTAAATCAATTTATAAATTTCGTGAGTTACGTCCATAAGGAACCCTCAGACCTTGAAAACCGGAGCAGTTCTATAAAAAAAAATTGCAAATTTCAGATTAGATCAAACTTGCTAAAGTGAGTTTGAATTTGATTATAATGAAATTATATCTTAATTTACTTTTCTAGTAAACATAATCAGAATGAAAGAAAGATTTCAATATCTGAGTTTATAATCTTTTGTCATAATTGAGTTAACTCAACAGTGCACCATTCCGGCAATAAGCATTAAATATTGGATCGAGATACGGACGCTACCTAAGAAATATTCAAACTCACAAGTTGAAAACAAGCTGTCAGCAACATGACAATAAACGAAAAGACCGAAACACAAACAACAGTCTTCAAAACACAATCTAACAAGTAAACAATACGAACTCCGTCATGAACTGGGATGACGTAAGGTGCTCCGGAAGGGTTTGCAGATCATTTATTTGTCGTGTTACCCATTTAAGTACAAATGTGTGACACGTATACTTCAATACGTCACATTCGAGGAAAAGATGACGATCGTGGTTTCCACAATTTGGTTTGTACGTTATCGTCGTTATCTGTAAAACAGATATTAATATCCGACAACCAATTCGTGATGTCGATTTCGATGGGATCACTCTAACTTCACAACTTGAAACTCTTGATTGTATAGCTTCCTTGTAAGCAAAACTAAATAAATATCAGTTGGTAAATGAATGTTTTAAAATAGGTGATTCTGAAAACAGTCAGAAAATTTATAGAGAACAAACTGTTGAAAACACCAAACCAAAAGGACGACTTTCGAGTCGTGAATTGCTGTTTGAATTTAAATTTTGATTGCCTAATGAACCATTCTATTCAACTCGAGTTTGTTTTTTTTTTCTCTGCAAAATCATCATCTATAAGTGCGCTACGGGTTTCACAACAAAAAAATGCTGAATTACTGGACATCATACAACGTCTACTGATAACAACAGATAGAATTAATTTTTGCATCGGTCTTTCTGTTTTGCTATCTATCCATCTGTCATTTAATAATATTATGGACATAACGAGTTCATTGATTGATACAGTACTATGATTACACGGTTTTGACTCAAAAGAGATGCGAAAAGTATTTAAGCTCATAAGTGGAAAATAAACTGAAAACGTCATGGCAAAACAGAAAAAAGATGCATAGACAAACAACAAAACAAAAAACACAACATAAAAAAACTAAATATTGAGGAACACGAACCCACACCAAAAACAACATTTATTGATTAAAGCTGTTCATGCAGGTAAATCGTCTGAATATGACACGTGTATATTAAATATAAACTAAAATGTTAATTTTGTGCATACATTAGGAACACTTTGCAACTGTAACTTTTCGGAGATGACCTTATTCTATTCGATGATATATATATATTGTCCGATAAGATAATTATAAACCTTTTCTTGCTATCATTGGAGTCCTAGAAAAAACATGCACTGTTTTTTACTCCGATATTTTTCTAATTAAAAAACCGGTATTCAATGAAGCTTAAAACTAAGAACAAAAACAACTTCCTGGTTAACGAATTGAAACGTTATTGTACAGATGGTATCTTAAATTAGTTATGTTAAAACAAAGAGATGGAAAGCTTCTAATAAAAAGTGTAAAACACTTGTATACGTTCATTTCAAAGGAAATTGAAACACAACTTTACTGAACAATCTTTCGAAACCCCACTCAATTTTCATTTTTATATATGATACATTTCCCAGAAGTCACATGTAACAGTCTAATGAATGATGTTTATTTTTCTTCTGGTACATGACACGCTTTGTAATATTTGTTTTAATGTTCAAACCATTTATGTAAATGTTATAATAAGGGGATATGGTATGTTTGTCAAAAGGCGATTGTTCCCAGAGCAAATGGTAAATACTTGAGCTATTGAACGTACTCGTATGAATTTAACAAATGAGCAAAATCCGACCGTAAAGTAAGTTTTGGAGGACACCGAAATGACACAATGTGACGCCATGTAAAATTTGAAATCAATTTTCTTTAGGTGTATTAAAATAATGAAGGAAATGCAATAGGTTATAAGCTTCTACTCAGTATATTTTGTCCAAGCAAGTTTGCACTAATAGTTTGAAGTTAGGGAATTAAAGAGATGAAATTATGACAAATGTTGACAACTATGGATTTACAGGACACACATATAAATGAAATGATGCCTACAAACTACAAAACATAGCGAAGAGCCGTTTGAAAAGAGTGACAATACAAATTATGTGTGTGTAAACTGAAACTTTCTGTTACAGGCCATACTCATCTCTATCAGTCACAACAAGGGTCGATAACTCTTTCGCTACAAATCGGCTGGTAAAGGGTTGATAAGTTCTTACATTTGATTTTAGGGATATCATCATGACGCAAGGTAAAACATCGATAAAAATTTTGTCAACTTCAATTGGTAAATAACAAGTCAAATTTTCTCAAATATTATAGTATGTTTTTGAAGGGGTTCATTTTGAGTAGTCTTTAGTTTGCCATGTTGTGTGTTGTCGACTTTTGTGTATGTTAATACATATACATAAAATAGATAGTAGGAAATACCTGTTTTATGATATACGAAATGTAATCTGATCTAAATAATTTGTGATAATCACAAGCACATTATTGTATAGTCATAAGAGTTTGATGCTAAAACAGGTTGTTCACCAAAACTGTTTTTGAGACTTTCCATATTTTTATACAGATGATGATGATAGGTGCCAGCTTACCGTCTAGCTGAACAGGACGAGATCATATTAAGGAAATGAACAGCTTGTTTGATGTACCAAATTAGACATGATAACTTTGAGCTGCAGTAATGAGTCTTTGAAAGACGAAACGCGCGTCTGGTGTACAAAGTATCAATTTTGGTGTCTATGACGAGTTTATTTGATCAGTGCTTATATTATAGTAGTCTCAGATTTTAGAAAAATCATTAAAATATATGCACTGAATACCATGGTGTAACACCTTTTTACAGAGTTGTTATAATGTATTCAAGATTATTAATATGTCAAATGAACAGGCACAAAAAAGTAGAAACTATATTTAACTGTTGATATAACTTTGTTAAGATCTTGGTACTAAGAATATTCATTTGAATTTCGTCCGTGAATCACCTCTTGCATAATATATTGGTTGGATTCTTCTTATATATGTACCATAATGGATCTCCAAGTGGATCTGAGAATAAAGATCGTATACTAAACATACAATGCAACCGAAGTGTACACTATGACCTCAGCGCTAAGCAATGCAATCGTCTTCCTCCTCTGACACTTTGTGAAGGTAGTATAAACATTAAGAACTCCTCATATTGTTAGCCATGTATACATACACAGGTGAACCTAATACTTAGAAGATGTAAAAAATTTTCAAAACATATTTCATGTACATCACAAGGTAAAACTATGTCCTTGTATTTCTAGATACTATTCAAGCTATTCACATCTCATAATGATATACACCGGTCATAAGCTGTTACACCAAAGTTTCCAAGTGGTGAAGCTCTAGTGATTCCTTTGAAAAAACTTAATGTCACAATCAAGAGTTGGTTTACCGTTATGGAATATCTGTTTCATAGATAACGACCAATATGTTCCAATTCTCGAAATGAACAAAGGTAAATATTCAAAGCTCTATTTTTATATAGCAGTATTCCTAGATACCTGTTGTTGTAGTATCTGTCCATCAATTGATACGTTTTGTCGAGAGTTTCAGTTTCCTTTCATCATTTTCTTAGTACGCTTTATTTGTATCCATCTGTTGAATTAAGCCTTTTTCAACTAATTTTTATAGTTCGTTCTTTCTTATTTTGTACTGTTACACCACTGTACCAGGTTAGGGGGAAGGTTGGGATCCCACCAACAGGTTAAACTCCGCCACATTCTGTATGTATGTGCCTATCCCAAGTCAGAAGTCTGTAATTCAGTGGCAATCGTTTGTTGCAGTGTTACATATTTGTTTTTAGTTCATTTTTTGGTAAATTAATTAGGCCGTTAGTTTTCCCGTTTGAAATGTTTTAAATTTGTCATACGGGGCTTTTTATAGCCAACTATGAGGTAGGAAATTTGCTCATTGTTCAAGACCGTACGGTGACCTTTGTTAATTTCTGTGTTATTTGGTCTCTTTTGAAGAGTTGTCTCAATTGGCAATCATACCACATCTTCTTTTTGATATTTATTGTTTTACATTTTGTCGTGAACAAGTTTACTAGACGGTCTGAAATTTGCTCATCGTTGAAGACTGTAGGGTGACCTATAGTTGTGTATATCCTCATCAAATGGCCACTCATGGATAGTTGGCGATCAATTTTCATCTCCTTTTTTCGAATTTATTAATCAAATTGTTTTTACAGTACAAAAACAATCATTATTAAAAGACAGTATAATGTTCTTATCCACCAATAAGAACATATGATTAATCTTTGGTGATTTGAAACAATTTTCCCAAATACTGTTTATTGTTAGTAATGTGTTGCTAATACCTGTTTTATGTCAGGTATTCTTTACATGAAACACATTGAGTACTTTTACTGGCCTGCATGGAATGCCATGTTCTTCAAAATATTGTTCGTTGTTACAACAAATGTAAAGCGAAGATAAGAAGGATTAATTAAAACAGACAACACCATGAATTTAATGAAAGAACAATAACAAAAAGCAAATTAGCAAAAATACCGAACTTGAAGGAAAATTCAAAACTGATTCTCCTTTATCAAATGGCAAAATCAAAAGCGTAAACACATTAAACTAATGGAATACAACTGTCATATCCCCGACTTGATACAGGCACAGAATAACAGTAACACATTAAACTAATGGAATACAACTGTCCCCGACTTGATACAGGCACAGAATAACAGTAAGTATAAAGTGGACAGAAAACAGATTTTACATTCGTCATCGAATTAATTTTAAAATTTCAAAATCTGAGCAGAATTTGTTTATGGGTATATCAAATAATATATTTCTATAGTTTCTATACCTTTATCAATCAGTAAGTCAGGAATCTGATGTTTAGTGGTTGTCGTTTTTTGATGTGGTTCATATGTGTATCTCGTTTCTCGGTTTTTTTATACAAATTATACCATTGGTTTTCCTGTTTGAATGGTTTTACACTAGTCATTTTGGGGCCCTTTGAAGCTTGCTGTTCAGTGTGAGCCAAAGCTCCGTGTTGAGGCCATACTTTGACCTATAATCATAATAATGGTTTACCTTTTTTACAAATTGTTACTTGGATGGAGAGTTGTCTCATTGGCACTCATACCAAATCTTCTTATATCCATTTAAAGGATTTTTTAGGATTTTGTTTAATTGACATTCACCCTAATGTTTAAGACATATTTACTATTTCCATATGTCATCATAAAATATTAGTCAAGTGTATGAACTATTTTGTTCAAATGGAAATACCAATGAACAGACTAATGGCCCATTAAGGTTGTTGCAGTATATCACTCACTTTGTGAATGGTAGAATAGGGAGTCAATGCATGATCTATTTCACTTTAGAAATGTGATCCTTAGCCATACATAATATTAGGGTAGATTATATCTAGTGAAAGCTCAATGACCATAATAAATTGCAGTAATACAAAACTATTTTGTTCCATTTATTATATAAATAACAAGAATTATCAACAATTGTAGGCGTTAAATATTCTAAAAACATATCATTAATTAAATAAAATACATTAAAATCACATTAAGTCTTGACTTTTATAAATATAAAAAAAAAATGTAAGAGTCAGTAAATGTGACACAAACATTCATAAATTTAGTTTATGTTTACTTCACTGGTGAAACGTTTATTTTCAGATATAGATACAAATATTTACAACGTTGGTTTTTTTTTCAATTCAACTGAATCCAAGACTACAATATTCACATTAACTAGAAAAAGCAATTCAAAGAAATAAAAATAATCTCATATTTCTGACATTTTTTTGATGTTTCCTAAATTAGATAATTTCCTTTTATTTTCTTTGTTAAAAATAAGTTAAGCAGTTTAAAGCAGATGCATATACTTTCTTAGGTTATCATATTTTGAGCATTTCAAAATAAATTTGAAAATCAACTTGAAATATTGCAAAATTACTGACTATTTTCATTTCTCTATCTCATTACTTTTTGATTGATTGATTGTGGATTGATGTATTCTAAGCACAGAATAAAAATTACTTTTTGATTGATTGATTGATATATTCTAAGCACAGTTTATAGAATAAAATAATCATAGTTAATATGTTAAACATGATGTGCATAACTATTTATCAGCTAACACTTTGGTAAAAACACAATCATAGTGGTCCATTTAAGTTCTATCTGGTTAAGACAATACATATAGCACCAATAAAGCTTTGTGGTACATTTCATCATGTCTATTTATAGTTTAGCAAACTGCATTGCATCAGATGTTGTCTCTGGATTAATCAGTGGTCTTAGATGTTTATAATATGTACTGTGTATCTACAATGAAAGACACAAAGGAGTTTGATAAATATGTCAACATTTAGAATAATTTTTAAAATGTCCTTTCCCAAGTCAATTTGAACTGCTATTAACAGCTGTTTTTTTGGCTGTTATTTGTCAGTTTTTCATATTTTTAGCAGTTCGTAAGCTGTTCTTAGTAGTACAAATAATAGCCCCTTAAAACTGCCATGTTTCTTCATTTCTTAATATTTTAACCGTATCAGTTTTGATACCTTGAAACTGCTTTCAATTGGACAGTAGTTGTTGACAGGAGTTTTGCTTTTGATCTTTGTTATAAAAATGCCGATCAGGCTATTTTTTCTGCTTGAAAATAAACCTCCATTTGAAGATTATTTGATTATTATTAAATGTGTATTTTTGCTGCAAGCTGTGTAAATACTTGACAACGCCATGGCCAAAAAAGAAAAAAAAAACAGAAAAACAATAGTACTAAAGAATGTTGAAGACACAACATATAAAACTAAAGACTAAGCAAAACAAACCCTACCAAAAACTTGGGGTGATCTCAGGTGCTCCAGAAGGGTAAGCAGATCCTGCTCCATATGTGGCACCCGTCATGTTGCTCATATTATCAAAATCATAAAATTGACATACTGTCACACACCAGCACTACAGTAAGTTGAAGTTACATGCATTTATATTATCTGCCATAACTAAGTAGGGGAAAACAACAAATGTTTGACTTTTTGGAAATTTGCTATGGTGATTGTCTTAATTGTGTATGCATGGGATCTGAGAGAAAAAAAAGGCTTTCCCACCTTTAAATCTTTTCAAATGATGTGTTCCCACTAGAGATTTATTCCATGACCAATATCACCTCTGACAACAACATTTTCTCTAAAATAATTTAGAGTACTTTGCAAGGTGTTTTTTTTCGGTTTACAGATTTTTATGTGGAAGATGAAATACTTACTTCTGTTTGATTCATAGGAGCAGACTTAGCATAGTCATACAAAGCTTGATAAACTTGGCCGTCATATCTTCCTAGGCAGCTACCCAATACCATGTCTGGATAATCAAATGCATCAACAAGGGCCACAGCATTTGGTCTGATGTCCTCAAACAGGGCTAACATCTTCCTCTGAAGGTAGCCGACTTGCTCTCCAGAGAAAAACCCATCCTACAAAAATAAACATCAATTTATTATACGTACAAAAACATAGTATGTTTTATTCACCTATTATAGGAATATTTATAGAAAAAATCATAAAGAATGATGTTCCATAGATGACACTTTGAAATATTCAGTTCATTCCAATTCTCTAATGTTACTGTAAACCTCAAGAACTTTTATCTTAGTCCTTAGATTACCCCCTACTTACATCAACTTAAAAGCTTTCATATTACATTTTGAGATGACCCCTAAATACACAAACCCCAAGTGGCTGAATTATCATGATTTGATATCATGATTTGAGATGCCCCCTTACCTGCATAAATTCACCAAGATTTTCCAGTATACCATGAACACCATATAATTGACAGACAGACTTCATCACTGTGGCTGTTTTGGAGGATAAAGATTTTGCCTGAATGGCATCTACAAAGTTCTTTACACAGAACAGATGACAATGGGCCTGTAAACAAAATATAATTATATATCAGTGAAAAAAAGATAGATGTTTGCAAGTTATACTCTAAAGGATATAATTTTAAGGTGCACTTTATTTTTGAAGTGAAAAAATAAAGTGAATATAAATTGTTGCTAATATGTAAAAGTTGGATCTTTTCTAATATAACTACATCAAGCAGATTTTAAAATTGCAAAATTATATCGCCACAAAGAAAGTGATAAATGCGATATTTTAAATCTGTGAAAATAAGTTTGTAGACAGTATTCATGTGAGGATCCTTCATTGATGCCTCTTGCCTCAGTCCCTTTACTCTCTTTACCTTTGCTGCCCATAGCAGTTGTACAGAACTTCCATTCCAAGCTTCATGTTGTTTTTTCCCTCCCTGTATAAGTGACTGCATTCTCATTGCTGCTGCTTCAACCAATCTAAAACATAAATCATATCAATCATATACACAAAATAATTGATTCAATTGATTTATTGATTGATTGTTGTATGTTTAACTTCCAGTAGCAAATATCTAATGCATGCTCAAGACGAGAACAAATAACAAATTCATCAATTGGTAGGTCTTTTAATAGGTGGCAATCATAATGGAGAATGCTGGTAAATAAGGGTTTCATTGCAAGAGGCCACCTACATAACCCTGAAAGTGTGCAAACGGTTCTCTCTCCACACAAGGCATTGGACTTCATGTACCCATTCTGACAAAAAGTGGCAGCAAATCTATACCAGGTGCTATCATGGTGACATTGAAGTAAAAACAACAGGAAATATTCGGCCTCTGCAATTCTGTTTTACAGATGTTTTTATTGCAAAAAATGTGATAGGGTTATAAATCGCAAAAATTTAACTCACATTAATTGTGAATTTTTGTATATGAATTAAACATGATTTTTGACAATATGGCAAAAATAAAAATTACATTTTAATCTAAAAGACGCAATCACAATAATAAATGCATGCAATAATTTCTGAATTTACAGTATAAGAAATCAGTATTGTGAGTACCAGTAGGTGTTAACATACGAAAGCGAGAAACCTACCTGGCAGCTCTATGTTCATAGGCCATGACCAGACATCCCAGGGCAATTTCCTCACTCATGCATGACTTCTTGTTCAGATTCTGACCTATATACTGGACAAAACCTGGCAGCTTTTGCCCCTGTTTTGCACGACTGTAACATTTCATTAAATATCTGTAAAAAGAAGAAAAATACTTCAGAGTAGGAGTTTTTACACCTCAGTAAAAGGTTTTTTTATGACTGCAAATGGATCAAAGTGATATAATGCCATTATAAAACAGCATCTAGTTGAAAACTTAGTAATAAAGGACTGTTTCAAAGAGGAAAAAACAATCCATTATATATACACTCTTTCTTATCTTTGGTTTTTCTAGTTGGAATGATTTTCTCTAAGTGTTTTATTTAAAATCTGATTGCTTCTTATGGTACTTTCCCTAGAATGCAAAAGTGTTGGCTAGACCACATACCTGTTGTCTGCATTTTAATAAATCTGACAAAATTGGGTTTATGACTTCTGACATACCATACCTGATACAATAGTTTCATATATTTCATGTCAGGGTCTTTTATAGGTCTACAGTATGGGTTTTTCTTATTGTTGTAGGCCATACAGTTACCTATCATTCCTTGCTTCTGCTTCAATGGAAATTTGCTGGATAATTGTCTAATTGACAATAATATCACATCTCCTTATAGTAGATGTATATTATTTTTTGGACTGTTGAAATCCTATATAAAAATCTTGAGCAGGAGTCGCTTTCACAAAAAAACTTTTGACTTAGATTGATTGTAAGTCATGAACAATTCAGTATACTTACTATTAATCTTAATTGTAAGTTTTTTGTGAAACCGACTCCTGATGTATGATTGCCAATGAAACAACTATCCACCATAGTCCACTATGTAATTTCAATTTCTCAAAATAAAATATATCACTATAAATTACATAATGATGCAAGTAAAAGTTACCTACTAAGAGAAAGTTCATACTTCTGTAGCTACTACAATGCCTAACTGAAGAAGATATTAAATAGATATAAGAAGATGTGGTATGAGTGCCAATGAGACAACTCTCCATCCAAGTCACAATTTGAAAAAGGAAATATGTTACTTAGGAAATTGAAGTCAACAATTATTACCTAGCAACCTGACTTACCTGGCTGTTTGTAGCATCATGACTGTGTTTTCTCCTTCATAAGTACAACCAGGAACGACATCTACATAAATCTTTGGTAAGCCACTGGCTTGTGAGTAACCATGGCCACCACAGCATATTCTACATACTTCTATTCCTGCAGAGGCCTCATAGGTACTGAAAGCTTTAAGTCCAGCTGATAAAGCATGGAGCTAAAAATAGAAAAATATTGTAACCATAGATACCAGAACAAATCTACTTGATTCTTTGTAAGTATTGAAAGTAAAGCATGGAGCTAATCATATATAAAAAACACAAAGCACAATGAATTAATAAGCACAAGGTATCAGTATTCCCCTTGTTTCGGAAGTTTTTCATTCTCTTTTGGTGTCTTAGAAAATTATTTGTCAATTGTGTTGAATGTGCTCCAAATAAGCCAGATAGAACTTTGTGAAAAAGCTTCAATTAATAAATTTATGGTAACATGTGGATATAGTGATCTTGGTGATCCATAACAGATTCCTCACACTAGACTGTATATTGATATCTGTCAGATACTAAGACATGTTAGAAATATGACCATACCTGTCAACTGTCACACCTGAGAATTTCATCCAATACCTGGGAATTTTTAAGTACCAGCTGGGTTGTCAATTAACTCGTAATTCAGAAAGTGACCCATTTTTACCAGAATTCTTGAGCCTTAAGACTGATTTCATAAGTGATTTTCCTTAGAAATAACGGCAAATTCGTAAATCTTCCTAGACAAGATATTTTAAATAGCTGTGTTAACTGTCAAATCAAGTGACCAATTAAGTGTATGGCTTCACTTGACAGCTTTGGTGTCAAACACACTGTTTAAGGTTCATGTCGACCCTTCGGCTAAAATGGCTGTATTTTCACCTCTAAATTAACTCTGAGTACTGACAAACCTGGTTTGCTCTGCATAGCGGAGAGATCTTTGTACATACATACCTCTGGCATTGATTCTAAGTTTCCTTTTTCTATCTGATCATTTACTTCTAAGTATGTATTAAACACATACTTCCCAGCAAGCTGTAAGGAATAAGCTGAAGCTAACAAGGGGAATAATCTATACTGTTGGGTCTGGTAGTCCAATATCTGGGGTTCTTCTCCACTATAATTAGAAACAGGAAGTAGTTACAAAGGGAAATAATCTATACTTTTATGTGTATGGTAGTCTATTAAATATCACAAGCTCACTTTCCACTTGATTTAGACACTGGAAATTAACTACTGTTCTTTGATATGGTTTTGTTTATAATTGTTGATTTATAATAATGGAAAACAAATTTTTCACTTAACCATGATGTTATTATTTTAACCATGGCAGGTCCATGGAAGACATTACTTGAAAGTGTTTGGTAAACAGGAAGTTTATGAGCAATGAATCTGAAACCACTTTACATGGTATAGCATGCTGACAGGAAGCCAATGGTCTGTTGGTCAGACATATTGATGGAAGGATGAACAAACAAACAAACAGAAGGACTAACACACATCTGTGCCAAGCTCTAAGCAGAACTCACCCTGGGTAGGCCTCTGTCTGTCTTCGAACAGCACTGTATCGTATAGAAATAACACAAGCCTGAGCTAAGCCACGTGCAGCATCACTAACAATGGATGATCTAATCAACACCATAGAACCATATGCAAGCTTGGCATTTTGTGGTTTAACATAAGTTCCATCTTCATGCACCTGTTTAAAAAGACATATTTTAATAAATCAGAATTTCCTGACAACTGAAACAATTCAAGGCAATCAATTGACATTTTGTACAGATACTTGTCTATTGTAAAGACTGCACGTTAACTCTAGATGTGTTTTGTTTTGTGTAGTTATGTGGCTGTTTCATTGACATAGAACTATATTGATATAATTTATTGTGGAACAGGATCTGCTTACCTGTCCGGAGAACCTGAGATTACCCCCATTTCATGGTGGGGTTCTTGACGCTTAGTCTTTATTTTTCTATGTTGTGTTTAGTGTACTATTATTTGTCTTTTTCTTCTTTAGCTATGACATTGTCAGTTTATTTATGAACTATGAGTTTGAGTTTCCCTCTGGTATCTTTTGCCCATCTTTTATCAGTCAGCATGTAGAAATGTTTCAACATAAATTTGCTGTCGACAGATGATACACCTGGAACCAAACACTTTTTATTTGGAGAGAGGGGGAGGGGGAAGAGGGCTTGTTTTCTTAGGGATTAAGAGGGGATAAGCATAGCAAAGGGAAATAAATGCAAAATAAGATAGAAATCCTCATGCCAGTTCTGTTGGAAATACAGACCAATGTGGAAATGATATTTTGTTACATTAAATACGTTAATTCAGTTTTTGCACAGTTTTTTTTTTGATTTTTTTTGTACAGGAATTATTGGCACCATAATATAAGTCATCTGGACTACCAAACTATAGTTAGACCTACCTACCTGTGAATATCTCATTAACATATTTTCCCTGGGAATCCTACCTTCCTGTGAATATCTCATTAACATATTTCCCCTGGGAATCCTACCTACCTGTGAGTATCTCATTAACATATTTTCCCTTGGAATCCTACCTGCCTGTAAGTATCTTATTAACATATTTTCCCTGGGAATCCTACCTACCTGTGAGTATTTCATTAACATATTTTCCCTGGGAATCCTACCTACCTGTGAGTATCTCATTAACATATTTTCCCTGGGAATCCTACCTACCTGTGAGTATCTCATTAACATATTTTCCCTGGGAATCCTACCTACCTGTGAGTATCTCATTAACATATTTTCCCTAGGAATCCTAAGTTTATCAAAGCGTAGGAATCCATTATCATTGGTACCATAACCAAATTTATTTCCAATAACTCCAACTTCAATCCCTGAAAGACAAGAAAGATTAATCATAATATAAATGATTTTTTAAAAGTGTAAGAATTCTGTTTCTGTCCACTTACTTGAAGCTTTGACATTGTTAGTACATAGTTAAAATTTGTTTTTGATTGACAATTTGGTAACGGAAGTTCATCACTGAAATTATGAAAAGCCAGATTTTTATTGATAATAAAATAATTTATTTGCTGCTTCCTTTAGTGTAATGGCAATCAGAAGTAAGAGATATGTCAGAGGAAGTAACTCTACTAACAATTCAAGATAGAGTGATCCTTATCTACTAACCTGGCAAGACATAGTAACCTCCCATGATCCTGATCTGTACTATGAACAAGTGTGCACTGTGACTGTTTTCCTGAGTGTACAGTGTAAGAGATCTGTATGTAAGGGGAAGTAACTCTACTAACCTGGCAAGACAGAGTGATCTCCCATGCTCCTGATCTGTACCATGAACACGTGTACACCGTGACTGTTTTCCTGAGTGTACAGTGTAAGAGATCTGTATGTAAGGGGAAGTAACTCTACTAACCTGGCAAGACATAGTAACCTACCATGCTCCTGATCTATACCATGAACAAGTGTGCACCAGTGTAAGAAATCTATATGTAAGGGGAAGTAACTCTACTAACCTGGCAAGACAGAGTGATCTCCCATGCTCCTGATCTGTACCATGAACAAGTGTGCACCATGACTATTTTCCTGATTGTAGTGTAAGAAATATGTATGTAAGGGGAAGTAACTCTACTAACCTGGCAAGACAGAGTGATCTCCCATGCTTCTGATCTGTACCATGAACAAGTGTGCACCGTGACTGTTTTCCTGAGTGTACAGTGTAAGAGATCTGTAAGTAAGAGGAAGTAACTCTACTAACCTGGCAAGACAAAGTAATCTCCCATGCTTCTGATCTGTACCATGAACAAGTGTGCACCGTAACTGTTTTCCCGAGTGTACAATGTAAGAAATCTGTTTGTAAGGGGAAGTAACTCTACTAACCTGGCAAGACAGAGTGATCTCCCATGCTCCTGATCTGTACTATGAACAAGTGTGCACTGTGACTGTTTTCCTGAGTGTACAGTGTAAGAAATATGTATGTAAGGGGAAGTAACTCTACAAACCTGGCAAGACATAGTAACCTCCCATGCTCCTAATCTGTACCATGAACAAGTGTGCACCGTGACTGTTTTCCTGAGTGTACAGTGTAAGAAATATGTATGTTAGGGGAATTAACGCTATTAATTTTGCAAGACATAGTTATCTCCCATGCTACTGATCTGTTACATGAACATGTGCGGACTGTGACTTTTTAATTGCGTGTACAGTATAAGAAATTGGTATGGGGAAGTAACTCTACTAACCTGGCAAAACAGAGTGATCTTTCATGCTCCTGATCTGTACCATAAACATGTGTGGACCATGACTTTTTCCCTGAGTGTACAGTTGAGCCATCACCACACAATGGTTGGAAGTTTTACCCACTGTAAGAATATTATTTACAAAAATAAGAACTTAAAATTACAATAATTTCTTTAATTTACACATACGCTGTCTCTCTCATATAACAATCCTCCTCTCCCAGAGATAATTTATAATTTTTTCATAGAACTCAACTTCAATAAATTATCTAGGCCACTTTCAATTAGTTTTCAAAATTTAAATTTATGATACAATTTAATTTTGATCAGAATTCAGACTTTTAAGTTTTCACCATTTTAATTCTATATTAGGAATTGACTATAAGTATACTTTCACAGTATTAGGAATTGACTACAATTCCTCCAATTTTTTTCTTCGTTGAGAATACAGCATTGCATTGTCCAAAATTTTAGGATTCAGACTTACATTCCAAACATTTTTATTCTCTATTTGGACAAAAAAAATTCTGATTTCTCTTTAAGTTTATGAATAAATTCATCCCATTTCTAGTCTATATTCAAAGTTTCATATTCATAACAACTCTAAATATCAGCACAACAATGTTTAATCTGCAAATTTGTGGAAGCACATTTTTGTTCGTCCCTGGCCGGGATTTGAACTCATGCTATTGAGATATCGAGACAACATGGCCTCAAAGTTTAATATATATATTCATCCCATATTTACTCTTTATTTATTAAGACTTACAACATCCAGGCCAGTACTTCATTGAAGTCAAAGTAGGACTGTCCAGAATAAATTCTTTAGTTTTTGGATCATATGTTGCTCTGGTTTCCAGCCCACGGATAAATGTGCCTGAAAATATATCAAAATTTATCTTCTGTCAGTATTTATTGGTGGAGGAAGCCGGAGTGCCCTGAGGGAACCACCGACCTTGGGTAGGAAAACTGACAATCCTAGTCAATTAAGATTGGAGTCGAGTGCACTACAGTAACATTGCTCAGTTTTTAGTTTTCTATGTAATATTTTGTTATTCTTGTTTTTGATGTTGTTGTTTTGATTTTATCACAGCCATGATATTGTCAAGTTTTTATATGATTTATGATTTTTGTATTGCCCCGTTAGTATCTTTTCACTCTTTTTCTACTAAAGGCACATCCTTTGTATTATCAAAAACAATTTTAAAAGTTTTTCATTTATTGGTAAAAAATTTCTACATGTAGAATCAATGCTTAAACTGTAAGCACTTTATTAATAATAACTCATATTAAGAAAAATATCAGATTAATTGGTATTTTTGTGTGTTTTTACAGGTAACTTTAGTTGTTGGATTTCTGTCTCATTCAAACTCATATTTCTTATTAATGAACTCATCAGTGCTTTTCATAACTTGTGTATATTAGTAGTGGCACCAATTGCGCCCTTTTAATAGCAGCCTTGTTCCAAAGTATCTTATTTTACATATAATAATGAACTCATCAGTGCATATAACTTGTGTATATAAGTAGTGGCACCAATTGCACCCTTTTGATAGCAGACTTGTTTTTTGTTTTGTTTTTTTCATTTGATAAAATTTTATTGACAAATATATATTTACAAAAGATAGCAGACTTGTTCCTGTATTGTTATTGTTATTGTTCCTGGCTAAATTTCATTTGATGAACTCATCAGTATATAAGCAGTATTGTGTAACACTGAGATGTGTATATTAAAGCAGGATTTAAAGAGAACATATGGTACATGTAGTATTTGAACTTCTATTGGCATATCTAAGGGTTATTCCATTCAAAATAAATAAGGGAGGGTAGGAATTGGAGTTTTATTTTTTGACTTTTGTGACACAACTAGTTCAAGGGGAGATAATCATTGTCACTGTAGTAGACTTTAAAGGAGATATCTCACTACTTGTTCAAGGGGAGATAATCATTGTCATTGTAGTAGACTTTTAGGGAGATATCTTACTACTAGTTATATGGTAGATAACCGTTGTCACTGTAATAGATATTAAAGGAGTCACTGTAGTAGACTTTAAGGGAGAAAATTCGCTTTTAATTCTACGAGAGATAATCATTGTCATCGTATAAGAATGTAAGGGAGATATCTCACTACTTATTGTAGTGGAGATAATCATTGTCACATGATAATAGATTACTACTAGTTGTAAGGGAGATGATCATTTTAACTGTAGTAGGCTTTAAGGGAGATATTTTACTGCTAGTTCTAAGGGAGACAATCAACAAAATATAAGGGAAAAAGATTTCAAAGAGTCTCAGATAATCCAATGGCAAGCAGTAACTCTAAAAAGACAAAATAAAACATGATGTGTTTACATTTTTCAAAAATACTCTGATATTATGAGATAATCACTGCCCAATGTGGCCTTAACACAAGATTCAAATTATCTCCCCTACAAAATATCTAACACAAGAAGTAAATAACCAGATAGTCCTTCAATTTTTTTAAAAAGTCACATTATAATAAATGAATACTTATTTGAAGCTACATCAAAGTTATGCCATTATCATAGAAATAAAAGATCACAAGGTTTTGGTTTCTGGAAAATATTACCATGTCCTAGTTCCGTCTGAGCATAAGTGCCAATCATTTTATAACTTTTCGCTAGAGGCAACCATTTCTTTTTTTGTTCAGGTGTAGCTTGTTTATTGATTGTTGGTAAAAACATAGCATAGTGCAGACCAAGAGGACTATTTTCATGTGCACCTGCACATCTACAATGATAAAAATATAGCATAGTGTAGACCAAGAGAACTATTTTCATGTGCAGCTGCACATCTACAATGATAAAAATATAGCACAGTATAGACCCAGAGGACTATTTTCATGTGCAGCTGCACATCTACAATGATAAAAATATAGCATAGTATAGACCCAGAGGACTATTTTCATGTGCAGCTGCACATCTACAATGATAAAAATATAGCACAGTATAGACCCAGAGGACTATTTTCATGTGCAGCTGGACATCTACAATGAGAGGACATTGTTTAAAATAGGTAAGCGATAAAAGCTGAATAAAACTCATTCAAGGAGGCATTATTTAATTATAAAAGCTGGACATCTACAATGAGAGATCATTATAAAAAGGCTTGTGGCAAAAGCTGAATAACATGGAGGCAATTAGACAAATGGATTTAAGCTGGAGGCCTCTACAATAAAAATAAATAATTCAACAAAAATGTCTACATCAGTGGATTCTGCCTGGAAAGCTAAAGCTACAAGTACAAAAAAAGTGATCATCAAAAGGAATTCAATATGAATACTTAAAATTTAGAATGGAAATGGGAAATGTGTCAAATAGACAACAACCAGACCAAAGAGCAGAAAACAGCCCAAGGCAACCAATGGGTCTTCAACACTGAGAGGAAATCCAGCACCCGATAGGCGGGCTTCAGCTGGCCCCTAAACACAAATGTGTTAGACACTAGTAGACATTTCAGAACTAAAAGTTTGGCTGAACCATATCTAAAACCCTCTATCACATGTGCTTGTGAATGTACCCACTTTTTTTTCTATATTATTTTTTTTCTGTTAATTTGATTTTTTTTTAAAGTATTTTTTTACTTTAAATCTTTACTAATTTTCATTACTTATAATTTTCATTTATTTAATGTGTTCTTGCTCTTATCCATACCAATTTACAATAACACTTGGAATAGGGGGGGGGGGGGGGGGGGGGGGGGTATCATATATGAATTCCCCAAGCACCTCTAAAGCAACACTGTTATTGCCATACTTGTGCATCCTAGGCAAAATGTGAACATTTTTTTTTAACTTATGGTTTTATAATGCCCCATTTGAATCGTCTCCCCCAGTTTTACTTTCTGTCAAGATTTATCCTGGAATTGTATCTGGCAAGAAATATTTATCTCATGGTCTCTCAGTTATTAGGTATCTACATTACAACATAGAAGTTTGAATGTATATTCCTCCATCCTAAAATATAGGACGCTCCCCTTGAAATAAAGGTCCAACCCCTTGAAATATAGGACTCTCTCTATTGACATATAGGAACCTCACCCTTGAGATATAGGACCTCCTCCCTGAAATATAGGACCCTCCTACAGACAAATTAAAACCAATTTTTGTGTACTGGAAAGGAAAGCAAAACTGCCACACTAGCATTTCAGGATCATAGACAATTGCAAAATTACCATGTCCTAGCTCAGTTTGAGCATATGCTCCGATTTTTTTCAGTTCTTGTGATTTCAGAAGCCACCTATCTTTTTGTTGATTTGTGCCCTATTTTTCAATTGTAGGTATGAATGCTTGGATTTGTAAATCTAAAGGTGTACTAGCATGTGGTAGAACACACATACAAACAACAAACAATAGATCTGAACTAGTATGTGGTAGAACACACCTACAAACAAATTAAACATACAATAGATCTGAACTAGCATGAGGTAGAACACACCTACAAAGAACAAACAATACATCTGAACTAGCATGTGGTAGAACACACCTAGAAACAACAAACAATAGATTTGAACTAGCATGTGGTAGAACACACATACAAACAAACATACAATAAATCTGAACTAACATGTTATAGAACACACCTACTTCCTTCATGAGCACATCCTTTAACAGTGGTGAAGAATTTGCCATTATAATGCATCCATTAATTTCTGAATTATCAGTATAAAGAGAATATTTCTTCTGTTAGAGGCGTAGCACAGTGAATTAATCTGAACTGCTTTCAACCAAAAACAATTTCTTGTTGAATGAATAAAAGGAGATGGTGAGGGGGGGGGGGGGGTACACATCATTATATGAGACAGCAACCCAACAAAACACAAAACTAAAAGACATCTAGAGGTCATAGTGCATTCTAGACATGTGTCTTTATAAGTTGTGAAAATCACAACCAAAGTATCAAAACAATAAAAAGAATTATGTCTTTGTCATACTATTCTTCAAGAAAAGTGCAACTGAGCTTGAATAATATAAACTGATGCCTTATTTTTTGTTCAAAGAAAACAGTTTTAGTCTTTCATTTTTTAGTCAAATTTGTAAAACACTTTATTTATTTAGATTTCTTCTTTTCCATCAACATGATCAATGCAAGACTGAATTTGATTTGATGGTTACATGATGAATTTCAGTATCTGTATGGTTTGTATTGGTCTTTCCTGGAATGAACTATTAGAAAAATTTAATTATAACTGAACATGCTGAACTAGCACGACTAGAGCTACGATGACATGATTCCTTAATCTTAGGACTGGTTTCCTGCAATGATGAGCCAATGATTACTAGGGAGTGGTTTGTTCCTGTTATAAATTTATAGGTAATTTTTGGTTTTCTTTTAAATGCTTTTTACTTTTAATTACTGTAAATTCAGAAATTGTTGCGCGGTTTTAATTAAAGTGCTTAATGCAACTGGGTGAGTATCACAATAATAAAAATTCTATCTCACTCTGATATTCGATACTTATATATGTAGGGCCATTAAAAAGAATGTTTGTTTGCCCTAACCCTACCTACCCAGAAAATAGCTGCCTACTCAAAATCTTTTATTGTCCTGATTCAAAAAAGTGTTTTTTTAATCAGATAGGCATGAAGACTAACAAACATCTGACACTTCAATTTCTCTTTGCTGAAAAAAAAAATGCCTACCTAACTACCCACTGTCTCTACCACAGGATAGGGTTTAGGCAAACTAAAATATTTCTAAGTGTGGCCTAGGCTGAATTTCCTGAAATTGCAACAATTAATCTTGCACTTTTTCGTTTCTTCTAATATTTCAATAATTAATGCACACAATAATTTCTGAATTTAGAAAGACAGGAAACTAGACCTACTCCATTGTGTAGAACAGGGAGCAAGACAGGAAACTAGACCTACTCCATTGTCTGGAACACGGAGCAAGACAGGAAACTAGACCTACTCCATTGTCTGGAACAGGGAGCAAGACAGGAAACTAGACCTACTCTATTGTCTGGAACAGGGAGCAAGACAGGAAACTAGACCTACTCCATTGTCTGGAACAGGGAGCAAGACAGGAAACTAGACCTACTCCATTGTCTGGAACAGGAAGCAAGACAGGAAACTAGACCTACTCCATTGTCTGGAACAGGGAGCAAGACAGGAAACTAGACCTACTCCATTGTCTAGAACAGGGAGCAAGACAGGAAACTAGACCTACTCCATTGTCTGGAACAGGGAGCAAGACAGGAAACTAGACCTACTCCATTGTCTAGAACAGGGAGCAAGACAGGAAACTAGACCTACTCCATTGTCTGGAACAGGGAGCAAGACAGGAAACTAGACCTACTCCATTGTCTAGAACAGGGAGCAAGACAGGAAACTAGACCTACTCCATTGTCTGGAACAGGGAGCAAGACAGGAAACTAGACCTACTCCATTGTCTGGAACAGGAAGCAACTTGTACAGAAGTATAACCTAGCAGCAAGTTTAGGATTTTTATATTCTTGAGATTGAGAAAATCAATGACACTTAGACGGTACATGGGAGACAAAAATTTAAACTTCAACATCAGAACCAACCATGTCCTAATTCTGTTTGGGCATAAGTTCCCACTACTTGCAAGCTCTCAGATAAATACAGCCATTTTTGCCTCTGTTCTGGAGTTCCTTGTTTATCAATAGTAGGGATAAACATGCCATAATGGAGGTCAAGAGGACTGTTCTCGTGTGATGTGGCTGGTCTAAAAAGAAACAGATGAAATAGAAGCCTTAGGGGACCACAATTTGATATTCTATAAGGGCCAAGAGGATTTTTTGCAGACAGAATATTCATTTTTATCTGTTGCTATGCAGATTAATTTTTTGACGCAGCTTTGTTGCATGAAAATATATTTTAACAATTATTTCCATTCATTTTCCTCCAATCTTTTTCAAGATTATTTTTTTTCAGTTAATTTCCCAGATTTTCTGACCCCCAACCCCCATAAAATGGTGGCCCTTCACTGGACTGTGGCATTCTAGTCAACATATGCATAATAAAAAACATAAACATGATTTAATTAAGCCAAATACAAGAAAAGAAAGTCTTAACTGCTGTGGCTGAAAAAAATAAAGCAAATATTATAAAGACTTAGATCTCTCTGAGCATGTATTACATCAGACCTAAAAATAAACCTAATGTTGTAAAGACTCAGATCTCTCTGAGCATGTATTACATAAGACCTAATATAAACCTAATGATGTAAAGTCTTAGATCTCTCTGAGCATGTATTACATAAGACCTAAAAATAAACCTAATGTTGTAAAGTCTTAGATCTCTCTGAGCATGTATTACTTCACCTAATGTTGTAAAGTCTTAGATCTCTCTGAGCATGTATTACATAAGACCTAAAAATAAACCTAATGTTGTAAAGACTAAGATCTCTCTGAGCATGTATTACATAAGACCTAAAAATAAACCTAATGTTGTAAAGACTTAGATCTCTCTGAGCATGTATTACATCAGACCTAAAAATAAACCTAATGTTGTAAAGACTTAGATCTCTCTGAGCATGTATTACATCAGACCTAAAAATAAACCTGATGTTGTAAAGTCTTAGACCTCTCTGCCCATGTATTACATCACCTAATGTTATAAAGACTTAGATCTCTCTGAGCATGTATTACATAAGACCTAAAAATAAACCTAATGTTGTAAAGACTAAGATCTCTCTGAGCATGTATTACATCAGACCTAAAAATAAACCTAATGTTGTAAAGACTTAGACCTCTCTGAGCATGTATTACATCAGACCTAAAAATAAACCTAATGATGTAAAGACTTAGACCTCTCTGAGCATGTATTACATAAGACCTAAAAATAAACCTAATGTTGTAAAGACTTAGATCTCTCTGAGCATGTATTACATCAGACCTAAAAATAAACCTAATGATGTAAAGTCTTAGATCTCTTTGAGCATGTATTACATCACCTAATGTTGTAAAGACTTAGATCTCTCTGAGCATGTATTACATAAGACCTAATATAAACCTAATGATGTAAAGACTTAGACCTCTCTGAGCATGTATTACATAAGACCTAAAAATAAACCTAATGTTGTAAAGACTTAGATCTCTCTGAGCATGTATTACATCAGACCTAAAAATAAACCTAAGGATGTAAAGTCTTAGATCTCTTTGAGCATGTATTACATCACCTAATGTTGTAAAGACTTAGATCTCTCTGAGCATGTATTACATAAGACCTAAAAATAAACCTAATGTTGTAAAGACTTAGATCTCTCTGAGCATGTATTACATAAGACCTAAAAATAAACCTAATGTTGTAAAGACTTAGATCTCTCTGAGCATGTATTACATAAGACCTAAAAATAAACCTAATGTTGTAAAGACTTAGATCTCTCTGAGCATGTATTACATCCGACCTTAAAAATAAATATAATGTTGTTAAGACTTAGATCCCCGCTGTGAGCATGTATTACAACAGACCTAAAAATAAATATAATTGTATCAGCACTTGGCATGCATTACAGTACATCAGATCTATAAATGAACCATATTTACTTTTTTTCTGCAATGTAACACACTTGACAGAAAAGCAAAAGTGATTTAAGCCTGTAATTAGTACAAAAATGTTGTGTACGAAGAAACATTGATCAAACTTATTTTATCTAGAATAACAAGAAGGTTTCAGTACAGATATATTGTGTATAATTGGCTTTTAAAGTAGCCTTGAATTTCTAAGTCATTTGGTCTCTTGTGGAGAGTTGTCTCATTGGCAAACTTACCATATCTTTTTATATTTGAGGCCCGCAGGTTTTGGGGTTTTTTTTGTTAGTTGTTTATTATGCTTTATATCAATCTGATGAGTCAACCCCTTTGAGGATCTTTCCAACTGGTTTCTCTTATGTTGTGTTGTTACACCTTTTTCCTAGATTAGGGGTGAGTTGAGTACTTGCAAACATGTTTTACCCCAATGCATTCTGTATGTGCCTGTCTTAAGTCAGGAGCCTGTTATTCAGTGGTTGTTGTTGGTTGCTGTCTGTATGTACCTATATTAAGTCAGGAGCCTGTTATTCAGTGGTTGTTGTTGGTTGCTGTCTGTATGTGCCTGTCTTAAGTCAGGAGCCTGTTATTTAGGGGTTGTTGTTGGTTGTTGTCTGTCTGTGCCTGTCTTAAGTCAGGAGCCTGTTATTCAGTGGTTGTTGTTGGTTGCTGTCTGTATGTGCCTGTCTTAAGTCAGGAGCCTGTTATTCAGTGGTTGTTGTTGGTTGCTGTCTGTATGTGTCTGTCTTAAGTCAGGAGCCTGTTATTCAGTGGTAATTGTTGGTTGCTGTCTGTATGTGTCTGTCTTAAGTCAGGAGCCTGTTATTCAGTGGTTGTTGTTGACTGCTGTCTGTATGTGCCTGTCTTAAGTCAGGAGCCTGTTATTCAGTGGTTGTTGTTGGTTGCTGTCTGTATGTGTCTGTCTTAAGTCAGGAGCCTGTAACTCAGTGGTAATTGTTGGTTGCTGTCTGTATGTGTCTGTCTTAAGTCAGGAGCCTGTTATTCAGGGGGAGGGGGGTTGTTGGTTGATGCCTAACATGTTTGATTTTCTTTTATTGCTTAGGTTTAAATCAGACTGTTGGTTTCCTTATTTTGATTTTCATTGTTTTACATTTTGGTCTCTGGTGGATAGTTGTCTCATTAGCAGTCATATCACATATTCTTTCATTTAAATAAGATAAAATCATCTGGAAATTCATGAAATTGATTCGTTTTTCTAATTGTTATAATTTCTATGAAATATTCTCTTTCTTTTGGCATTGCACAAGATTCATATTCTGCTTTGATACTATATATGCCCTTGAATTTTTACTAGATAACATTTTTGTTCGCTTTGGAGATTCCGTATATCGTCAGGTTATCGCAATTCCAATGGGGACTAACTGTGCACCACTTATTGCGGACCTTTTTTTGTATTGCTATGAGTTACAATTTATGACAAAAATCAGCAAAGACCCATCGAAACAACATCTGATACACAAATTTAATAATACTTTTAGATATTTGGATGATATTTTGGCTCTCAATAATGACGACTTCAGTATGTATACTAAAGAAATTTATCCTGTTGAACTTACTTTAAATAAAGCTAATACTAACAATGACCACTGCCCTTTCCTCGATCTTGATATCTATATCATTAACGGAAAGCTTAATACTAAAATATATGATAAAAGAGATGATTTTTCATTTCCTATCGTTAATTATCCATTTATAGATGGTGACGTTCCCTCGTCACCATCTTACGGTGTTTATATATCTCAACTTGTACGATTCGCTCGTGTATGTAACAATGTTTTAGATTTTAACGAGAGAAATTTATGTATTACTGAAAAATTATTACACCAGGGTTTTCGATATCACAAACTAGTCAAAACATTTACTAAATTTTATCATCGGTATAAGGACATCATTCGTAAATATAGCTCAACATGCAGACTTCTTACACTTTCAGGTATTTCACATCCAATTTTTTATGGAAATTTTCTTTATAAAGCACAAAAATGTCAGTATTCACCTCTGAAGCTAACAAAACCTTTAAATAGACTTATTAAGAAGGGATATAGTTACGATACTGTTGTCAGGTCATCAAAGATTGCATATTTTGGCGTTAATATTGATTCACTTATAGGGTCTTTGCATCGGCACTAAACACATTTATTTAAAAACCAGTTGTTGGCATGACACGGGTTATGTTCTTCTCATATATGTTATGATGGTATGATACTAAACCCCTAACGGGAAGGATTGTGCCTGATATTCATATGATGAAGACATAATCTTTCAATTAGTTTAATTGAAGTCTGGAGCTGGCATGTCAGTTAACTGCTAGTGGTCTGTTGTTATTTATGTATTATTGTCATTTTGTTTATTTTCTTTGGTTACATCTTCTGACATCAGACTCGGACTTCTCTTGAACTGAATTTTAATGTGCATATTGTTATGCGTTTACTTTTCTACATTGGCTAGAGGTATAGGGGGAGGGTTGAGATCTCATAAACATGTTTAACCCCGCCGCATTTTTGCGCCTGTCCCAAGTCAGGAGCCTCTAGCCTTTGTTAGTCTTGTATTATTTTTTATTTTAGTTTCTTGTGTACAATTTGGAGTTTAGTATGGCGTTCATTATCACTGAACTAGTTTATCTATTTGTTTAGGGGCCAGCTGAAGGACGCCTCCGGGTGCGGGAATTTCTCGCTACATTGAAGACCTGTTGGTGACCTTCTGCTGTTGTCTGTTCTATGGTCGGGTTGTTGTCTCTTTGACACATTCCCCATTTCCATTCTCAATTTTACTTATGTTTTATAGTCAAGATGCAATGAATTTAGTGAAAATGATTACCTATTTTACATGCATGATATTCTTTAAAACAAAAACTCCCTCCATATCTGTGATTCTTAAATATCTTATAATATTTGTTTTCCTGCTGGCTAATCATTTTATTACTTACTCTCTATAATAAAAAGCCTCTTGCATATCTGTAATCCCCATTTCCTGGAGTTTTTTCTGTATGTAGATACTTTTAGATAGTCCCTTAATTACTTACTCTCTATAATAAAAGGCCTCTTGCATGTCTGTAATCCCCATTTCGTGGAGTTTTTTCTGTATGTAGATACTTTTAGATAGTCCCTTAATTACTTACTCTCTATAATAAAAGGCCTCTTGCATGTCTGTAATCCCCATTTCCTGGAGTTTTTTCTGTATGTAGATACTTTTAGATAGTCCCTTAATTACTTACTCTCTATAATAAAAAGCCTCTTGCATGTCTGTAATCCCCATTTCCTCAAGTTTTTTCTGTATGTAGATACTTTTAGATAGTCCCATATCATACTGTTCTTCTACGCTACAGAAGGCCCAGGACTTCTGTTTCTTGAAGAAGGGATCTTGGATTGCAATGTTCTCTACAAAAAGATTAATGATCATTAATGGTGACTGGTCATGAGCAATAGCACTACAACATATTCATTAATACTATCTGTGAGTTACAAAAACTTTCAAATTTTGATGATAACAAATATAAATAAACAGCTGCGCCATGAGCCCATGATACGCCCGTTGTGTTTTCAAAGAATAAAGTTCAATTACTTCTCAATGTCATATCAGAAATTTATAAAAATCAAAAGGGAGCTTACGTCAATAAATATAAACAATTCACCAAAGTTTCATGAGAACTGCTGAAAGCTTTTTTTAGTTATTGTCTGAAAACTGGAAAATCCCCCCTTTTTAATGAATAAAACCCCATAACTCTGAAACGTAAAATATAAAATTTATAAAACATAAAAGGGAGCTCATTTCAATAGATATAAACAATTGCCTAAAGTTATATGCAAATTGGTTAAAGCGTTTTTGAGTTAATGTCCGACACCATAATACGTCCTGTAAAAGGGCGTATAAAAAGAAGATGTGGTATGATTGACAATGAGCATGATGAGACAACTCTTCACAAGAGACCAAATAACACAGAAATAACAACTATAGGTCACCATACAGCCTTCAACAATAAGCAAAGCCCATACTGCTGTTTGACTATTTGAAACACCAAGGTTTCTTCTACCTCCATGTATAGATTACCTCAGCCTTATTTGGCCCAACTTTTAAGAATTTTCTTTTTTTTAATTACTCATCAAATGTGTATTTGGTTTGGCCTTCCAACTGTTTTGATTTGAGTGTTACAGATGATTCTCATGTAGGCCAAACTTGTCTCTTTTAGCTAAAAAAAAAATGCAAAAAAGGGAAAAAGTCATCATTTAAGGTGGATGTCTTAATCAAAACCCAAGAGAAAATGAAATCGGGATCCATCGGGATCCCAATGAAATCCCGGTGAAATTGGCGGGATAAGCCGGGATGGGCATCTGAAGACGGGATCCCATTCGGGATAAATATCTGAAACTGGGATCCCATTTGGGATATGTGTCTGAAGCCGGGATCCCATTGTAGTTGAAATGGGATAAATATCTGAAACTGGGATCCCATTTGGGATAACTGTCTGAAGCCAGGATCCCATTCTAGTTGAAACGGGAAAACATAAAACAGAATTTTGTTTGCAAAAATACGTAAGTGTTTGGTACACAGGAAGTTGTTGAGTGCTGAATCTGAAAACGCATATGGATCTATTCAATTAGCATGATTGTTTTAACAAATATGGTTTTTATCCATTTACAGCCATGTTAGTAGTTCAAATAATTATGACGTATGGCAAGGCTATTTTTTTTTCTGGGACGCCTTCCTTCTTTGTCAAACATTTTTGAAATACACAATTATTTATAACATAAAGCAAAGGTTATTGGTGTTTATTAACAATGTGTATGACACCAAAGCTGTCAGGTGAAGCCAATCACTTAATGAGGCACTTAATTTTCAGTTTGACAGTATTTCAGAGTCAGAAAATGCCGAGATTTTCGCAATAAAAATGGCAGGGCGTCCGAGAAATGTCAACGGCTGTTTTGCCAGACACGCTGGGGCGTTTATGATTTTTTCCAAGTTCATATAAGTGCGTTTCTATTAATTGTCGTCCGGCATATATCAATGATAGGCTAATGATCGACATCGTAAAACGTCGGTTTCTCAACTTATGTAAAATGTAAAAAAAGTCATGACCACATGTTTTTTTTTTTGTAATTGTACTGAACAGTCCGACCCTAGAAAATACTGTCCTAGATAATGCGGCCACTAGTTCATCCGCATGCACCCTGTGCCGATTAAATAAACTTTTGTTTTCTTATATTTAAAAACTGGCCAGTAATAAATATTTTTATGCGATATCCTTGATTTATTTTTATAATACCGTTACGGAGACAGATCAACTTCTGGCCGATATAATATGGGGCGAGATTGTCACCTCGACGTTAGTGTACTGGTAAATACGTCATCAAAATCTGATTACGCTGATTTATGGAGGATCAAGATGAATCTGATGCCGATATTTTCAGATAAGTGCATTAATAATTTAATTTAACATGTGTATATGTGTATATAATGATTATAAATATAATTTATATAGGAACTATGATTTTTATGGTTTTTATTTGAGCAAATCAACACCAGAAAGTCTGAAAGCATAAACTGAAAATATATAAATTTATTTTAACATATAAAAACAATGAATAATCTTGTTGTCACATAACAGGCATAACTGGTAGGTATATAAAAATTTAATTGAGTTGTGTGAATGGTTATTTGGTGAAAATATTAAGTCGCTAGTTATTTTTATCTTCAGGGGATAAAAAAGGGGGAGGGTAATTAATTTGATTCCAAATGGCTTCCAACCTATTGTCTAAACATGCAATAATATTTCTATTAAATGTTTTGCTTCAAAACGTCTTGAACAAATGATTCTTTGTGGATTTGTTTTTATACTTTTAGGGGATTTAATGATTTGATTAAATGGAGCTGCCAATTTTGATAGTATAAACAGATTGCATGCAGATTCCAGTTACCTTTACTCAGCAATACTTGTTGGAAGTACAGACAGCAAATTTATTTACAGAAAGGAGGAGAACTTTACATGTATCCTTTTGCATAAATAACCCAGGAATCCCAGTGGTGTCTAGTACGTGTAATTGGAATTGGTGCATGTATATCCTGCTGGGATTTATTTTGGGATCCCGCTTTTTTTCCGGGAATCCCAGTATAGTGTATTCCAATCAAAATCCCACAATATCCCAGTATATTTCCACTGGGATTTATTTCAGGATCCCGATTTTTTTCCAGGAATCCCAGTATATTCCAATCAAAATCCCACAATATCCCAGTGGGATCCCAGTATATTTCCACCGGGATATACATCGGGATCCCGCTTCTTTTGCGGGAATCCCGAAATTTTATCCCAGTGCAATTAGGTGGGATCCCAATTGGAATCCCATCGGAATTCCAGCCGGAATTCCAGTGGGATCCCAGATTTATTTTCTCTTGGGAATCCATTGAATTTTTAAATAATTTGTCAAAATGGTGTTTTCATCATGCTTTTTTCCAAAATATAATTAAAAGTATGGGTCACCAGACTTTTTTCGTGCTACAGGTTGTGCAAAATTGTTAGATTTTATATAGATTATGCATGAAAAATCCAATTTTGTGTGATAAAAAGAGAACTTCAACATAGAATTTTAAGATAAAATTTGAGAAGATTGCTCATGTAACATGCTTTCAGATGAAAAAAAAAAGAAAAATTGGGGTCACCAGACTTGTGTTTTGCTACATATTAAAATAGGTAAATTCATAACACTTTCTATAATAAAAATTAATTCTTCTGAGTAATCTCCCCTTATGTGGCAAAGTTGAAGAAAAAAAAATCAAATCAAACTAAAATATTGAGTTTTTTAGAAAATGCAACCGTAAATATGATAAGTAAAATTGAGAATGGACACATAATTTTCTACATTAACATGAAAAGTCTTACACATGAATAATGAATTACCACCATGTAGAACGCCACATGCCGGCAGTCAGCTATGTTTACACGGGGTGGCGGTTTTAAAGCGGAGAAAAACGATCAAGGTAAGTTCAAGTATCAAAATTTCTTTTTTGAGAATTGTTTATAGTACATGTACCAAGTAATGTATTGTACGGAAGGAACCAAAACATAATATATTTCCAGCTAGCAGAAGCAGACGTATTCAGTGATCTGTTTTCTCAAACACCTCTCCCTAGTTTTCCTTGTTGCAGATTTTGAGGCTTCATATGCAAGTTTAAGGATAAAAAACTACTTTTGACGATGTTTTCCTGTACGATTTATATGGAAATTAATTCTTATGACATGGAATTTAACCAATTGCCATCTTCTTTATCTTAGTAAAAATTTATTGGTTTAAAAACTAATGTTTCATCAAAATACAATGTGTCACTCAGGGTGTCAGATTTTGCGTCTCAAGGGGTAGAGGTATTTATTTAAAAAAGAATAGATTTGCATATAATTCGGCCTTTATCTGATACTTTGTATATCAAACACACCTACTCTGTTATGATGACAAATTACAAACTTAAGATATTTCATTTGGCCCATATTTTAGTTATTCAAATGCAGAAAATCATTTCCATGTCTCACATATATAAAAATATATCTTTGGTGTTTAAAAGCGCTTCATTAAAAGTAACACACATTTTCAATAATCTTAGGTAAAGCCCATAGAGTTGAACCTAGTCACTAGTTCGATCTTTCTTGTGTCGATAAGATCCCATCGTTTGACTAATATCTTGAATTTGGATAATTCATTTATTTTGCTCATTTTATAAATGGATAACACGTACATGAATCAATAATGATACAAATTGAATACGATCCATGTTTAATTCTGTCACCATCTTTTTTCGCAAGCTGAAGTATTCCCACAATCCTCCATGGAAATTCATACTACATGTAGTAGAATCAAGAAATTAAATTGTCAGTCTGTCAAGATTTTGTCCTGTCCATTTAGCATTCGAATTGAATGATCACATAATCTGCCCTCCATTATATAGCTGAAATAAAGCCCACTTGACGTTAAACTAAAAAAAATCCTCCATCCATCCGAAATACATGTTTTGAATAGTAGCCAGGTTTGTAGCAAAATATTTAAAAATGCCTCAAATCTTCATTTTATTTGAAAGAGAAATCAGTAGTGAGTACACACAAATTGTGAGGTGTTTTGATACTCCTGGCTTAGTGAGCTGTGAATGCTTCTTTAATATTATAATATTGACCTACAATTGTAGCAAGTTGAAGAATTCTAATTATTTAGATTTTGATTAACTTTGCACACTGATAAAAAAAATCCATTATCATTTTCGCAGGAAATAAATAATTGCAGAACCAAATGACGTTTTACTGGTGATGGCCGTCACGAAATATGAGTTCCATCATAAATATAAGTTCTTAATGGAAGAAATATTCTGTAATATTAGTTCCACTGAAACAAATGTTACAGTA